GGCTTTGCGTGGCTTCGCTTCGCTTCGCTTCGCTTCGCTTCGCTTCGCTTGGGTTTGCTTGGCTTCACTTGGCTTCGCTTCGCTTTGCTTCGCTTCGCTTGACTTTGCGTCGCTTCGCTTGGTTTCACTTGGTTTCGCTTCGCTTGGCTTCGCTTGGCTTCGCTTGGCTTCGCTTGGCTTGGATTCGCTCCACTTGACTTCGCTTCGCGTGGCTTCGCTTGGCTTCTGTTCGCTTCGCTTGGCTTCGCTTGGCTTTGCTTGGCTTTGCATGGCTTTGCTTTGCTTCGCTTGGCTTCGCTTCGCCTGGCTTGGCATGGCTTTGCTTCTCTTGGCTTTGCTTGGCTTCACTTGGCTTCGCTTCGCTTGGCTTCGTTTGGCTTGGCTTCGCTTGGCTTCTCTTGGGTTCGCTTGGCTTCGGTTGGCTTCGCTTGGCTTTGCTTCGCTTTGCATGGCTTCACTTGGCTTTGCTTGGCTTCCCTTGGCTTCGCTTGGCTTCGCTTGGCTTGGCTTCGATTGACTTTGCTTGGCTTTGCTTGGCTTTGCTTCGCTTTGCTTGGCTTCGCTTGGCTTGGCTTCGCTTTGCTTCGCATGGCTTTGCTTGCCATCGCTTGGCTTCGCGTGGCTTCGCTTGGCTTTGCTTGGCTTTGCTTGGCTTGGCTTGGCTTGGCTTGGCTTGGCTTGGCTTGGCTTGGCTTAGCTTCGCTTCGCCTGGCTTCGCTTTGCTTGGCTTGGCTGCGCTTTGCTTTGCTTCGCTTGGCTTCGCTTCGATTCACTTGGCTTCGCTTCGCTTTGCCTGGTTTCACTTTGCTTGGCTTCGCTTGGCTTTGCATGGCTTAGCTTGGCTTCGCTTAGCTTCGCTTGGCTTGGCTTCGCTTGGCTTCGCTTGGCTTTGCTTCGCTTTGCTTGGCTTCGCTTGGCTTCGCTTGGCTTTGCTTGGCTTCGCTAGGCTTCGCTTGGCTTCGCTTTGCTTCGCTTGGCTTTGCTTCGCTTCGCTTGGCTTTGCTTGGCTTTGCTTAGCTTCGCTTGGCTTCACTTCGCTTGGCTTCACTTGGCTTCGCTTGGCTTTGCTTGGCTTCGCTTGGCTTACCTTGGCTTCGCTTGGCTTCGCTTGGTTTCGCTTGGCTTCGATTGGCTTTGCTTGGATTCGCTTGGCTTCGCCTGGCTTGGCTGCGCCTGGCTTTGCTTGGCATTGCTTGGCTTCACTTGGCTTCGCTTCCCTTCGCTTGGCTTTGCTTGGCTTCGCTTCGCTTGGCTTGGCTTTGCTTTGCTTCGCTTCGCTTCGCATTGCTTGGCTTCGCTTGGCTTTGCTTTGCTTTGCTTGGCTTCGCTTTGCTTCGCTTGGCTTCGCTTCGCTTTGCTTGGCTTCCCTTCGCTTGGCTTTGCTTGGCTTTGCTTCGCTTGGATTAACTTGGCTTCATTTTGCTTCGCTTGGCTTCGCTTCACTTGGCTTTGCTTGGCTTCGCTTCGCATGGCTTTTCCTGGCTTCGCTTGGCATCGCTTGGCTTTGCTTGGCTTGGCTTGGCTTGGACTGGCTTTGCTTCGCTTCTCTTTGCTTGGCTTCGCTTGGCTTGGCTTGGCTTCGCTTGGCTTTGCTTGGCTTCGGTCAGCTTTGCTTGGCTTCGCTTGGCTTCGCTTGGATTCGCTTCGCTTGGCTTTGCTTCGCTTGGCTTTGCTTCGCTTCGCTTGGCTTTGCTTCGCTTTGCTTGGCTTTGCTTGGCTTCGCTTCGCTTCGCTTGGCTTTGCTTTGCTTCGCTTGGCTTCGCTTCGCTTCGCTTGGCTTCGCTTCGCTTTGCTTCGCTTTGCATCGCTTGGCTTCGCTTGTCTTCGCCTTGGCTTTGCTTGGCTTCGCTTGGCCTGGCTTCGCTTTGCTTCGCTTGGCTTTTCTTTGCTTCGCTTGGCTTTGCTTCGCTTTGCTTCGCTTCGCTTGGCTTCACTTGGATTTGCTTTGCTTGGCTTTGCTTGGCTTCGCTTAGCTTCGCTTGGCTTTGCTTGGCTTCGCTTGGCTTTGCTTCGCTTCGCTTGGCTTTGCTTGGATTCGCTTGGCTTCGCATCGCTTTGGTTCGCTTGGCTTTGCTTGGCTTCGCTTGGATTGGCTTCGCTTGGCTTCGCTCGGCTTCGGTTCGCTTTGCTTGGCTTCGCTTGGCATTGCTTGGCTTCACTTTGCTTCGCTTGGCTTCGCTTGGCCTTGCTTGGCTTCGCTTGTCTTCGCTTGGCTTTGCTTGGCTTCGCTTGGCTTTGCTTGGCTTTGCTTGGCTTCGCTTCGCTTCACTTCGCTTCGCTTTGCTTCGCTTCGCCTCGCTTGGCTTCGCTTGGCTTTGCTTGTCTTTGCTTGGCTTCGCTTGGCTTCCCTTGGCTTTGCTTGGCTTTGTTTGGCTTCGCTTCACTTCGGTTGGCTTCGCTTGGCTTTGCTTGGCTTTGCTTGGCTTTGCTTGGCTTCCCCTGGCTTCGCTTCCTTTACTTGGCTTTGCTTGGCTTCGCTTTGCTTTGCCTCGCTTCGCAAGGCTTCTCTTCGCTTCGCTTCGCTTGGCTTCGCTTCCCTTCCCTTGCTTTTGCTTTGCTTGGCTTGGCTTCGCTTCGCTTGGCTTCGCGTGTCTTCGCTTGGCTTTGCTTCGCTTTGCTCGGCTTCGCTTGGCATCGCTTGGCTTCACTTGGCTTCGCTTGGCTTTGCTTGGCTTCACTTTTCGTCGCATGGCTTCGCTTGGCTTCGCTTGGTTTCGCTTGGCTTCGCTTGGCTTCGCTTCGCTTGGCTTGGCTTCACTTCGCTTTGCTTGGCTTTGCTTGGCTTCGCTTGGCTTGGCTTCGCTTAGTCTTGTTGGTTTCGCTTCGCTTTGCATCGCTTCGCTTTGCTTGGCTTCGCTTGGCTTCGCTTCGCTTCACTTGGCTTCGCTTCGCTTGGCTTTGCTTGGCTTCGCTTGGCTTGGCTTGGCTACGCTTAACTTTGCTTGGCTTTGCTTGGCTTGGCTTGGCTTCGCTTTGCTTCGCTTCACTTGGCTTTGCTTCACTTCGCTTGGCTTCGCTTCACTTGGCTTGGCTTCGCTTTGCTTGGCTTCGCTTGGCTTCCCTTCGCTTCGCTTCACTTTGCATCGCTTGGCATCGCTTGGCATCACTTGGCATCGCTTGGCTTCACTTCACCTCGCTTGGCTTCGCTTCACTTCGCTTGGCTTTGCTTGGCTTTGCTTGGCTTCGCTTGGCTTCTCTTGGATTCGCTTGGCTTCGCTTGGCTTCCCTTGGCTTGGCTTCCCTTGGCTTCGCTTCGCTTGGCTTCGCTTTGCTTCGCTTGCTTCGCTTCGCTTGGCTTCGCTTGGCTTCGCTTTGCATTGCTTGGCTTCGCTTGGCTTCGCTTGGCTTCGCTTGGCTTTGCTTGGCTTCGCTTAGTCTGGCTTCACTTGGCTTCGCTTTGCTTTGTTGGTTTCGCTTTGCTTGGCTTTGCTTCGCTTCGCTTGGCTTTGCTTGGCATCGCTTGGCTTTGCTTGGCTTCGATTGGCTTCACTTGGCTTCACTTGGCATCGCTTTGCTTCACTAGGCTTCGCTTGGCTTTGCTTGGCTTCGCTTGGCTTTGCTTGGCTTCGCTTGGCTTTCCTTGGCTTTGCTTGGGTTGGCTTAGCTTGGCTTGGCTTCCCTTCGCCTCGCTTGGCTTCGCTTCGCTTCGCTTGGCTTCGCTTGGCTTGGCTTTGCTTTGCTTGGCTTGGCTTGGCTTGGCTTCACTTGGCTTTGCTTTGCTTCCCTTCGATTTGCTTGGCTTTGCTTGGCATCGTTTGGCTTCGCTTGGCTTTGCTTGGCTTGGCTTCGCTTGGCTTGGCTTGGCTTTGCTTCGCTTCGCTTCGCTTCGGTTAGCTTTGCTTGGCTTTGCTTGGCTTCACTTGGCTTCCCTTGGCTTTGCTTCACTTCGCTTTGCTTCGCCTGGCTTTGCTTGGCTTCTCTTTGCTTCGCTTGGCTTTGCTTCGCTTGGCTTCTCTTGGCTTCACTTCGCTTCGCTTGGCTTGGCATTGCTTCGCTTGGCTTGGCTTCGCTTGGCTTCACTTGGCTTCGCTTGCTTCGCTTCCCTTCAATTTGCTTGGCTTCGCTTGGCATCGTTTGGCTTCGCTTGGCTTTGCTTGGCTTCACTTCGCTTCGCTTGGCTTCGCTTGGCTTTGCTTCGCTTGGCTTGGCTTCACTTGGCTTGGCTTGGCTTGGCTTCATTTCGGTTGGCTTCGCTTGGCTTTGCTTGGCTTCGCTTGGCTTCCCTTGGCTTTGCTTCGCTTGGCTTCGCTTCGCTTCGCCTGGCTTTGCTTGGCTTCTCTTTGCTTCGCTTCGCTTCCCTTTGCTTTGCTTCGCTTGGCTGGCTTCGCTTCGCTTGGCTTCGCTTCGCTTCGCTTCGCTTCGCTGCGCTTCGCTTCGCTTCGCTTCGCTCGGCTTCGCTTAGCATTGCTTGGCTTTGCTTGGCTTTTCTTGGCTTCACTTCGCTTCGCTTGGCTTCGCTTGGCTTTGTTAGGACTAAGGACGAAGTTTAAGTGAACTTAGGAGCTAGAATTACTCAAAATATAATTCCGAAATTCTGGACAGAAAAGTCTTCACAAGAAATGACGTCGACAAAACACTGGCTGTTCGAATGTCGGGAAAATCGGATATGTTATAGCTTGTAATCGTAGCTACTGTTCTCAATTTGAATCGCGTCGATTGATGGAGTACTGGGGACAATTTGTCTTTCGACGCACTAGGGGGTAAGCTGTAGGAGGAGAACTTATCTCAATCGCAAAAGTTCAATCTAAGTTCTTGACTCTCAAAAGGAATTAGATGAGCAAGAGAGAGGTTGGGATAGAAAGATAGGGATGAGAGGGAAGGTCCCAAGAGAGTCCCCAACCAAGGAAACCCCATAAGCACAAAGTTCCCTCCCTATAGGAACCTCAACTTTGACATTTGTCCCTTCCCAACCAATCCATCCAAGCTGGCCACCTTTCCCAACCTAGCTTGGTTATTCCCAACCAATTTGCAGCTGCTACAGTAGAGTGACGAATTTACCCAGCCTCAAAGGTCCCAACTCCATATAGAGTCACCCCACAACTTCACTTTGTAACCGCCGCAATTGTAACGCAAGCTCATGAACTTTGAATCTTCATAGCTTTCGCGTTCTTGCTCCGATTGAAGCGATTCTTGTTGCGTCGGAAAGATCTTCTCAAGATCTATCATCACAAACACCTGCTCAGACAGAATAACACAAAACACATTCCCAAACTCCAGAACACACACCACACAAAGTTTTTCACACACTGTCAAACCATACATGCGAATTGAAACAAGGGATTGGAGGCAAACAGAATGTGATAGCATATGATGACATCACACAACAATCTCCCCCTCTGGCTGCCAACCATCATCCACTATACCAACATCCCAAGCATGCATACTCAATTCACACTCATCCCAACAAGCTTCATGCCCTTCCAATGATCCGCCTCCGCCAGACGCTTAGTGAAAATATCTGCTGCTTGCTGATGGGTCTTCACTATCTCCAGCTGCACCTCCTTATCAAGGAGTCTCCTCACCCAATGCCACTTAGGCCTTATGTGTTTTGTCAGCCCATGCAGACAAGCATTCTTGGCAAGCTTCATAGCAGACTCATTGTCACAAAACACAAGTGTCGGCTCCTCCTGGCCAACTCCCAACTCCTCCAACAAACGCCTCAGCCACACCACTTCCTTGACCCCATGGTGTAAGGCCATGTACTCAGTCTCACATGAGGACAATCCCACCTCATTCTGCTTCTTGCTGCGCCAGCTCACAGTACCACCTCCTAGCAAGCACACATATCCCCCAATGCTGGTGCCATCCGCTTTCACTGAGTTGAAGCTAGTGTCAGTATAGCAACTCAAGAGCATCTCTCCACTCTTCACATCTGCAGCACCTCTCTGCAACCGCTGCCTCACTCCACTGTACTCCAATCCCACTGATGCCGTAGCGCTCGCATAGCGGACCAACCTCTTGGCCGCTTCTAGCTACTCATGACTAGGGCGTGAGACCACACTAGCCAAGTGTGATGTAGCAAATGCAATGTCAGGCCGTGTATGATTTGCAGCATAATTCAGCGACCCAACCATCGAATGAAACAGCTTCCTGTCACTCTCACCCACTACCTCCTCATCAGCACTTGGCTCCACGGTAAAACCCTGAAGGTATTGGTGTTGCTGGCTTTCCCCCATCTTGCAGCCCATACTTCTCAGCCAACCCCTCACAGTACTTCCTCTGGTGCAACCTTAGCACACCCTTTTCCACATCTCTCTCCACATGCATCCCCAGGTAGTACTTCACCTCACCCATCTTGGAACACTTGAACTGCATCTCTAGCATCTGCTCTGCGCTGTCCAGCAAAGCAGTTGATGCAGAAAAGAGAAGGATATCATCCACATACACCAAGAGCATGAGGATTTCATCCTTCTCCTGCAACAGGAATAGGCTGGGGTCACACTCACTCTTCTTGAAACCCCCAGCCAACAACGCCTCCTCCAACTTGTGATACCATGCACGAGGCGCCTGCTTAAGGCCATAGATGGCCTTCTTCAGCCTGCAGACCCTTCCGCTCCCATCATCCAGCCCCTCTCGCTGCTTCATGTACACCTCCTCCAGAATGATCCCATTCAGAAAGGCAGTCACAATGTCCATCTGCCGTATCTTCCATCCCAAGGAGTGCAGCTATCGCCAACAGCACCCTTAGTGTTGTTCCTTTCCCCACAGGAGCAAACACCTCATCATAGTCCTTCCCCTTTGTCTGCTGAAACCCCCGTGCCACAAGCCTAGACTTGTAGCGGGTCAGCTCCCCTTCAGGTCCATACTTGTGCCTGTAGATCATCTTGGAAGTGATTGCCTTCTTCCCAGGAGGCAAGTCACACAGGTCCCATGTCTCGTTCTCAATCAGGGACCCTCACTCGCCTTCCACTTCTCCCCATTTGGTCCATTCAAGGCCTCCTCTCGAGTCTTGGGCTCAGGGATTGGTGCCCAGTAGCAGTGAGCGATCTCATCTTCCTCAATCTGCTCAACCACACTCCCAGCCTGCACCACATTCGGCTTGCCTCTTCCCCCATAGGTCAGCCTCACCGGAGGGCGCACATCCCTCCTAGGTCACTCAGGCGGGTGTGGAACTCGAGGTGGAAACTCATGCTGCTGCTGCTGCTGCTGCTCCACTTCAGCTGCTCCCCCTTTCTCAGTCACCCCAAACATCTCCTCCTTAGACACTGCAACCTCCACCTGTCTTGAAGGCCGCTGCACCTCATCTGCCTCCACAATGAGCGGTGTAGATGGAAGCTTCTGTTGTTGCTGCTTCCATTCCTTGTAGTATAGGGACTCAAGAAACTTCACATCCCTTGACACTGTCAGCTTCTGGGTGGTCAATTCCCATAGCAGCCACCCCTTGTGATCCTTTGCAATCCCCAAGTGCACACTCCATCTTCCAGAAGCCTCCAACTTCCCTCTTTTCTCCTTAGGCACATGAAACACCACCATGCACCCAAATGCCCTCAGCATGTTCACAGCTGGAGCACTCCCATATCACTTGGTATATGGGATCCACTCCTTATCCCCAACTGTAGCTATTCTCAGCACTTTCTTTTCGTCACTCCCTTCTGCCGGAAAACTATGTCGAGCGAGTTTGCCACCGACACAAGAGACACACGGCAGATCAGTGCTCGGCGTCTTCTCAATATCCAAGCCCGTAGCTGCTCCGTGCGCCGCAGTCCGCCGAATCATCTCGACCTCAGCATGGGCCAGACGAGCATGCCACACGTCCGTAGAGGAGCGCGCGTTGGTTGCCAATGTGCGCAGAGCAATCGCTTCTGCCGCAGGCTTTTGCTGCGGCCATGGCTGCAGATTGGTGCTGAGAACCCGGCCTTTGTATCGAGCTTGCCCGAGCAGAATGTCGTCCGCAGAGAGCATGATAGTTTCCTCGCCAGTGTCCTTCAGCTTCACTCCACAGTCCTTCAGCTGCCCGGCAGAAAGCAGATTGGTTTGGATTCCAAGGACGTATAGTACATCTGGGACCAAAATCCTCTTCCCAGCCTCGCCAAGCAGAGCAATGGTTCCCCGTCCTCGAACAGCTTGGATGGCGCCGTTAAATCCGCGAACGTGCCGGATTTCGCCGTCCTTGCGCATTTCTACGAAAGCCTTGTCATCTCCCATGAGGTGGTGCGAACATCCACATTCCAGTAGAATGACTACAGGGTTGGCTTCCACAGCAGCTACAATCGCCTGGAAGTCTTCGCCATCTTCTGGATCCAACGAGATGGGCAGATCGTCCGTCTTCTGCTGTTCTACGATCGCACACGAGGGTCCTTTTCGATCAGCAGAACCAGAGTTCTCAGAAGAGCCACCACTCTGCGTGCCAGAGGGCGGATTACTTTCTCGCTTCTGCGAATGATCATCGTTCCTCTTGCCTTTGCAATCTGGGCACTGAGCAGTGAAGTGACCGATTTCACCGCAGACGAAACATGGTTTATCCTTGTTCTTCTTGGCCGATTTCTTCTTGTCGTTGCGGCCGTCCTTCTACTCTGCGGCGGAGTCATTCGTAGAAGAGACCCATCGCCACTGTTGCTGCTGCTGCTGCCGAGGTGGTTGTCCCGTCGACGCCCAGTTCAATTGTGGCAGAGGAGACTCATTGCACTGCTCGATCGCAAGGGTAGATTCTTCCTCAACGACGTAGCTCGTCAGAGTGTTTTCGTCGAGGGTTTTCCGCACATCCGGAAACTTGATCATGCACCGTAGATAGCTGTACTGCGATGGCAGACCCTTGACAACGTGTGTCACGTAGGAAGCCATCGAGTATCGTACTCCAGTCATCCACAGATTAGCCAGCAACTGATGTGCACGGGTGCAGTAGGCGGTAGCAGTCTCGTACTCTGCCATCTCCAGACTTGCCAGACTCTGCTCCAACTGACCGATGTAGAGATCGTCAGTAGCCTTGTAAGTCTTCATGATGAATCGCCATGCTTGGTAGCCCGCATCCACTCGCAGACAACAACCCTTCAATGCCATCTTCACAGAAGGCGAGCAGCAGCGCGAGATCACCATGAATGTCAGCAGCTGGACAGAGCGGAACTGCCCGTACCACAATGCATCCGACACAGGAGGGGCTTTCGTTGACCCGTCGACAAACCGCCTTAGTTGCGCAATCTCCAGCTGAGGTTCTATGGACTCGACCCACGACGCCAAGTCGTGTTGTCCCTCAAGGAGCCTTGGCACCACGATTTTGTCAGGAGAAAACTTGAAGTAGCCGAATTCAGGAGCAATCCCTCTATCCTTCGAGGCTGTCGGTAGAAAGGCAGTAGAGCCATCGGCAGCGTTGTTTGCGCCGTCACGACCGCCAGAACGGCCTTCTTCAGCAGCACTCTTCTTCTTCAAGCTTGACTCCCTTGCAGGGTCCCTTCCGTCGCCCACGCTTGATCCTTCACCATTCAGCGTTTCTCCTTCTCGTAGAACACCGCGTGACTCTCGCACTCTGCCTTCTGCCAAACCTTCCACGTTCTCCTTGTCTCGGGAGTCTTCCACTGCACGCGCCCGCGGATGATCCATCTCCCATTGAGCTCGTAACCCCATCAGCATGAATTCGAGCTCCTTCTCTGGGAGGTCTTCATAGCGAGCTATCAAGGCAGCCTCCTACGCCTCGAGATCATCGACCACCTCACGGACATCCGACTCGCCGTCCGTCATATCGACAATCAAGACCTTCTGCGAGACCTAACGTAGTCGATTCGACCTCTATGGTTCAGGTGTTCGATCCACGCTCACCGCACCATGCAGAGTTTTCTGCTATTACGGGAGCTTCTGCAGAAGTGCCTGATGCAGATAGAGCTCTCTAGCTCTGTCGTTCTCAAAGAAGAAAGTTGCCTTCAGAATTGTGTGTTTCACTGCGTAGCTTTTGAGAAAGCTTGGGCACACAAATTCACTAGAATCAAGATTACAAAGTATGGTACACAAGGCAAACACTAGTACTACCCCATTGAAACTCATTTGAACACAGAGAGAACGTTCGCACGAGAACGTTTACAGAACTACTCTAAGCTGCGCTTAGCCAAGTCAGCAATGGCAGGTGAAAATTACAGCATATGCTTAGTTGGTAATTTTTACCTACTTAGAAGTAGTTATTCTAACAGTTTCAGAAATGAAGCTGTCAGATGTTACGCACATTTCCGCAGTTACGAAATGTGTGCCACGTGTTCAATTTCTCAATGTCGCTGGTAGATTTTGCCGTTGTTTGGTCCAGATCGGTTCTGAGGTTAACTTACGAAATCGCAAATTTCTCGCGATTGCGGAACGTTCCGTCATCAGAAAAAACTAAGTCCTCGTTTTCTGTCGAAGGGGTCACTCGCAGAAGCGAAGTCCGAGATGACTCTCTGCCGTGCTTCTACCAAATTTTGTTTCAGCCGAGGGGGTCGTCAACAAAAGAGATAGCCGAATTGCATTTCTGCCGAACTTCGTGTTGTGTGATGTCATCATATGCTATCACATTCTGTCTGCCTCCCATCCCATGTTTTCAACTTGCAAGTGTGGTTTGAACGTGTGAAAGAATTTGTGTGTGGTGTGTTCTGGATTTTGGGAATGTGTTATATGTTATTTTTGTTTGAGCAGGTATTTGTGATGATAGATCTTGAGAAGATCTTTCCGACGCAACGAGAATCCCTTCAATCGGAGCAAGAACGCGAAAGCTATGAAGATTCAAAGTTCATGAGCTTGCGTTACAATTGCGGCGGTTACAAAGTGAAGTTGTGGGGTGACTTTATATGGAGTTGGGACCTTTGGGATTGGCGAAATTCGTCACTCTATTGTAACAGCTGCAAATTGGTTGGAAACAACCAAGCTAGGTTGGCAAAGGTGGCCAACTTGGATGGATTGGTTGGGAAGGGACAAATGTCAAAGTTGGGGTTCCTATAGGGGGGGAATCTTTGTGCTTATGGGGTTTCCTTGGTTAGGGACTCTCTTGGGACCTTCCCTCTCATCCCTCTCTTCTATCCCAACCTTTCTCTTGCTCCTCTAATTCCTTGTGAGATTCTTGAACCTTGATTGAACTTTTGAGATTGAGTTAAGTTCTCCTCCTACAGCTTACCCCCTCATGCGTCGAAAGCCATAGCGTCACGAATACTTCATCAATGAACGTGATTCAAATTGGGAACGGTATGTGAGATTAAGAGCTAGAACATACCAGAGTTTCGCGACATTCCAACAGCTAGCTTTTTGTCGACGTCGTTTCTTGTGAAGATGACTTTTCTGTCCAGAATTTCGGATTTATATTTTGAGTAATTCTAGCTCCTAAGTTCACCTAGACTCCGTCCTTAATCCTAACACCAGCTTCCATCTTCCATCTTCCATCTTCCATCTTCCATCTTCCATCTTCCATCTTCCATCTTCCATATTCCATATTCCATCTTCCATCTTCCATCTTCCATCTTCCATCTTCCATCTATCTTCAATCTTCCATCTATCTTCCATCTATCTTCCATCTATCTTCCATCTTCCATCCATCTTCCATCTTCCATCTTCCATATTGCATCTTCCATCTTCCATCTTCCATCTATCTTCCATCTTCCATCTTCCATCTTCCATCTTCCATCATCTTCCATCTTCCATCTTCCATCTTCCACCTTCCATCTTCCATCTTCCATCTTCCATCTTCCATCATCTTCCATCTTCCATCTTCTTCCATCTTTTTTCATCTTCTTCCATCTTCCACCTTCCATCTTCCATCTTCCATCTTCCATCTTCCATCTTCTTCCGTCTTCTTCCATCTTCCATCTTACATCTTCCATCTTCCATCTTCTTCCATCTTCTTACATCTTCTTCCATCTTCTTCCATCTTCTTCCATCTTCTTCCATCTTCTTCCATCTACTTCCATCTTCTTCCATCTTCTTCCATCATCTTCTATCTTCTTCCATCTTCTTCCATCTTCTTCCATCGTCCATCTTCCATCTTCCATCTTCCATCTTCCATCTTCCATCTTCCGTCTTCCATGTTCCATATTCCATCTTCTTCCATCTTCCATCTTCCATCTTCCATCTCCCATCTTCCATCTTCCATCATCCATCTTCCAACTTCCATCTTCCATCTTCCATCTTCCATCTTCCATCTTCCATCTTCCATCTTCCATCTTCCATCTTCCATCATCCATCATCTTCCATCTTCCATTTTCCATCTTCCATCTTCCATCATCCATCATCTTCCATCTTCCATTTTCCATCTTCCATCTTCCATCTTCCATCATCCATCATCTTCCATCTTCCATCTTCCATCTTCCATCTTCCATCTTCCATCTTCCATCTTCCATCTTCCATCTTCTATCTTCCCTCTTCCATCTTCCATCTTACATCTTCCATCTTCCATCTTTCATTTTCCATCATCTTCCATCTTCCATCTTCCATCTTCCATCCATCTTCCATCCATCTTCCATCTTCCATCTTCTATCTTCCATCTTCCACCTTCCATCTTCCATCTTCCATCTTCCATCTCCCATCTTCCATCATCCATCATCTTCCATCTTCCATTTTCCATCTTCCATCTTCCATCTTCCATCATCCATCATCTTCCATCTTCCATCTTCCATCTTCCATCTTCCATCTTCCATCTTCCATCTTCCATCTTTCATCATCTTCCATCTTCCATCTTCCATCTTCCATCATCTTCCATCTTCCATCTTCCATCTTCCATCTACCATCTTCCATCTTCCATCTTCCATCTATCTTCCATCTATCTTCCATCTATCTTCCATCTTCTATCTTCCATCCTCCATCTTCCATCTTCTAACTTCCATCTTCCATCTTCCATCTTCCATCTACCATCTTCCATCTTCCATCTTCCATTTTCCATCTATCTTCCATCTATCTTCCATCCATCTTCCATCTTCCATCTTCCATCTTCCAACTTCCATCTTCCATCTTCCATCTTCCATCTTCCATCTTCCATCTTCCATCTTCCATCTTCCTTCTATCTTCCATCTTCCATCAATCTTCCATCTTCCATCTTCCATCTTCCATCTTCCATCTATCTTCCATCTTCTATCTTCCAACTTCCGTCTTCCATCTTCCATCTTCCATCTTCCATCTTCCATCTTTCATCTTCCATGTTCCATCTATCTTCCATCTTCCATCTTCCATCTTCCATCTTCCATCTTCCATCTTCCATCTTCCATTTTCCATCTTCCATCTTCCATCTTCCCTCTTCCCTCTTCCATTTTCCATGTTCCATCTTCCATCTTCCATCTTCCATATTCCATCTTCCATCTTACATCTTCCATCTTCCATCTTCCATCTTCCATCTTCCATCTTCTTCCATCTTCTTCCATCTTCCATCTTCTTCCATCTTCTTCCAACTTCTTCCATCTTCTTCCATCTTCTGGCAAGATCAGAATTCGCCGGGGGGGCAATCCGGCTGCAACTGCCTAGAAATACCCCCCCCCACCCCCCTCCCCTTCCCCCCTCCTCGCACCCAGTGTGGCAGTGACATTTTTTCCGGCTAAGTCCCAAACTTTCAGAAACAATCCCATGGAGCCCCTGAACCCAGGAAATTCGGCTAAGTCCCTCACACACGTAACTCCCACACCAGCAAAACTCAGAAAATTTGGCTAAGTCCCCAACTTCCAGCAGCATTCCTTCCTTAACCCCGCAACCAAGCAAATATGGCAAAGTCCCCCACACACAGACATACCGTGCTCCTCCCACCCGCACCACCTGAAACCCAGAATTTTCGGCTAAGTCCGTCACAGTCAGGAACATTCCTTCCTCGATCATAGTTGAATTCGGCTAAGTCCCTCCCAAACAGAGATAGTCCTCCTACCTACACCCACGAAACTTCGGCTAGTCCTCATTGCAGGAACATTCCTGCATTTACCCTAGAGCATAGAGTATTTGGCTAAGTCTCCCTTAAACATAGAGAATTTTACACAGAGAGACTCCTCCCACCAGGACCCTAGATTGGTTTTGAGGCTTCTTGATCCATCAGGATCCTCCCTGCAGAAAAGTCTCAATTTTCAGGGTCCCCTTAAATAAAATCCTGAGCCATCAGAATTACTTTAAAAAAAATACCGGTTTTTCAATCTTTCTATACATGTTCTAGTTCATGATTTTTGTGTGTTCAAGTCTTAGTTTTTGGGGGTGCTGGGAATTCGTAGCGAATTCTCGCATGTGTGACGAGATTGGGGGATGGGCATGAAAAGACAATTGGTGGGGGGGAGAGGGGGGAAGGGCTGAATAGGGGGCGAGGCGACGAGATTGCAGGGGCGGAGGGAATCTCTTCCCTCGCAGAGCCCTAGGGCAGGCGCACATCAAGCAAATTCGGCCAAGGGCCAGCAATTGCCCTCACACAGTCCTCAGCACACCTCCCTCACATGACCTCCAACATACAGCGCGGATATTTTTTTGACCAAGGGCCAATCAGCGCCCTCACACAGCCTCGGGGGGTGGGGGAAGGGGGGGGGGGAGAACCTCGAAATTCTTGACTGCCCCCCCTAGACACGCTTATGGAAAGGACTAAGACCCGCTACAATGCTGAGAAATTCAGGGTTCGCTAAGAAACCTTGCTGAGGGATCAGAGTTTACCCTTACAAAAAGCCTGAAAAAACAGGGTGTGTCATTTACAAAACCCTGCACAATCAGGGTAAGTACCGAGAAACTCCCTGTTTTTTTCCTGAATCAGGAAAATTTTCCTGTCTTCTGGGGGCGTGCCTCCCACCCAGGCCATCCTAAACCTTGAATATTTGGCGTCCCTCACAGACTGGAGAATTCCTCTTACAGCCCCGCATGCCCACGGAGCTATGAAAATTTGGCTAAAAACGTTTAGCCACGTTTCCCTCCTCCCCCTTCCCGCAACCCGGAAAGTTGCGAAGGTTGCTGGCACATATTCTACCCTACTTTAGCGGGTTTGTCAGAAAACTAATGGAGGAAATTCACACTCCTAACATAGCAAATCCAAAAGTACTCTCTTTTTCTGGCACTCCGCAAATGTTACCTTGTTTGGACCTTGAACATCTTGACATGTCCGAGTCAATGTTTGCTGTAACTCGGCTAAAAGTAACTTTGTACCCGAATCCGGATGAAACAGAAATCAACTACCCTGAAATCCGGATGAATCAAGGTGCAGGGGGGTGGGGAATCCGGGAGAAATAGAGTCTTAAAAAACCTTAGCGTGCGCCCTGGTGAGGGCCACTTTTCTGGGTTCGGTTCGGACAAACCCCATGGTCGGGAATACTGTACAGAACTAGCGACGATGTTACGCTGTGGAGAAGCTCGTTGCAAGTGTTATGAATTATAACTCAAAGTATAGCGCAGAATACTGTAGGGGAACGTGATTACAATGTTGTACAGAATGACGATAGAAATGAGACCTAGGCAATATATAAGGCGAGTTGACCAGGTTGAATGTCGAGTGTTGGACCAGTCAAGGGCTCGATAGTCCCGAGGGTTACGGGGTCAAAATGGGTTCGGGGCGACTCGGGAAGAGGTTGGGGACCGACGAGGTCGACGGGGGCTGGTTTGGCGCGTGACTTGAGGGCCGAGCCTGCGGACACGAACTATTCGCGTGTACTCGCTGTGGCAAGCCCAAGGAATCGTAATTCCTTACAGCAAGCCCTGATTGATGTCCTACTTTGCAATCCATACAAGCAAAGCTAACCTCCGAAGTACACACCACTTGAATAAATACAAATTCTTGGAAACGGTCAGCCTACCTACTGGCTTGTAGTTTAGGGTCGAGGCTGTTTAAAACTACATTGAACCAACTGGCTTGGTGGCATAACATTCTCCAATTGATGTATACACTCCCTGAAGCCCGATAAGGTGTCCAAGGGCATGGCTGCTAAACCCGCACGCTTTTCCTATCATTTATTCTTTTTGTACTATGCATGACACAGCAATCTTCCCAACTAGCATTATGGGTAGCATAACAACTCGCCCAGCGGATAACTCAACCCCTATGAGACAAGGTTAGTGCAGAATGAACAGCTGCCTGCAACCTCTCAGCTAAAACCCTCAACCACCCTCTCCCTCCCACCACCACCCCCATCTCCTTTGCCCCCCCTCCTGCTGCTGCTGCCGCTGCTGCAGCAGCTGCTGCCGGTGGTGGTGGCATCTCCTTGATTGCCTTACCGATCAGCTGCTTACACCTGTCCCAGTCCTCTGTGTTACTCCAGCATCCCTTCCCCCCATGACTCCCATCAACGGCCAGCAGCGACAGCTGCAGAATCAACGGCCCTCGCGCACCCGGAGCAACAGAGGCGGCACCTGGACCAGTTGCACCTGTACCAGCAGCTGCCGGATTAGCTGGGGCGGCAGAGAAATGCAAGCGTAGGCGGACCGAAACGCAGTGCGCCAGCCAGCCTGCGCCGCCTGCGATGTGGACCGGCAGATGGGCAGCGGAGAGGGCGGCATGGTCGATGAGCAGGACGAGAGAGAAATCCACCCGACTGTCTGCCCGGCTGTAACTGATATCGCTGCGGTCGGCACTATTGCCAGCTGTACTGCCAGCTGTACCAGAGCCTGGGTGAACCTGCCCTGCAGATACACCTCCCCCAGTTTGGCCTCCGCTGTTCTTTCCAAAAGAATCTGGGAGGTCCCATCCCAGACCGATGCGATTCTCAAAGCACAGATCCACTGTGACTCGGGTGGCTGGATGAATTTTTGGGATGTTACCTGCCCCAGATGCACCTGCAGATGGACCTCCCCCTGATACCGCCCCTCCTGATGCTGCTGCTGCTGCCACACCCGCTCCAGCTGCTGCTGCTGCTGCAGCGGCCAGCAGGCGCTGCTGTTCCCTTCTCATGGCGAGCAGACCCATGAACTCACGGATTACAGCCAATGGGAGCATGACAAGTGTCACGAAGGAGGACAGACGGGATACATCGAAGGGCTCCACTGCCACCTTGCGTGAAAACAGGTCGCTGATCTCCGCCAGCTCAGCAGGGGTCATGTCCACGTCAGCATCGTGTGTCATCGCGGGCGGGCGGCGCTGTGGAGCCATGCGGGCGTTTACAACCTGGAGGGGGGCGGGAGGTAGGGTCAAGGGAACATGCTTAAAGCCTGAGTCTAGAATGGTAGAAAACCATGTATACTGTCCATGATAACAGTGTCAATAACACTGCACGAAACCGATTTCGGCAAAGCTCCTCTAACGACAGATAATTATCGGCGAAAAAGATTCATCGCTCGTGACACAGAAGGAGCCCAACAACTTGCAATCAGCAGTGCGCAAATAGTGACGTGGTTGGGGGCGGGGGGGGCAAACTATACACAACTGTTCTGGCGTCACCGAGTCTCGGCAAAAAATGCGTCTAGAATGGTACGGGGCGTTTTCAACTTCAGTATGAGTGAACAGTGAGTTCTAGGTTTGTCTCATATAGCGAGTTTCGCACACAGCCCCGTTTCACTGAGGGTCGCGATGTGGCGGTCCCCAGCACTGGGTTACTCCTACTTTTACGAAAACAAGTTCAGGAATCCTGAACTTGATAGCCAACCAATGTAGACTCGGGCTTTAATATGAATGGATTGAGGCGCCTCGGTAGGGCAACCTGCATGGTATAACATGGCATGTCACAGCAACCTTGAAGCACGGATCCGAGAACCTCCGGGGATCAAAACCTAACTATTTGAAACCCAGCCTCAACCTGGGTATGGTATGGTATGGTATGGCATGGCATTCACCTGCAGCATAAGCTGAAGCTGGTCGCCAGCAGTGGGGCGGCGATGGCGGTGCAGATTCACCATGTACACATAGTTGCTGGGTGGGGGGGCGAGATAAATGAAGGGGGGTGGTGGGGGTGAGAAAGAGAGAGATAAAGGGGGGTGAAGTGGGGAGGACAGCATCCAACCAAGCCGTTGATGCAGAGCCACCCAGTGAAGCACTAAGCAGCTACACCTTCCGTGCAAGCCAGAGAAAGAGAAGAGAGTGAGAGAAGAGAGAGAGAGAAGAGAGCGAGAGGCTCACCCAATGAAGAACCGCAGTGCAGGCTGCTCGGGATCCTGCGACAGCAACCCAGCTTCCCTCGTCCCCATGGCGGGCCCCAGCACTGCCGCCAGCACAGAAGGGAAGCGAGCGAACAACCCAATGGTGCCCAGGTAGCGTAGCATGCTGCGCAGCACACGCTTGAGCAGAACGACCGGCACCCACGCGCCGCCGTACCCGCCGTCGTCCGACAGGCCCACCATGGCTGTGTGGGACTCGGCGCGCACGGAGGAGGCCAGGTTGGCTGCCATCTGCTGCCACCGCAGCATCTCCGCCCGTTGCTGCTGCTGCTGCTGCTGCTCTTGCTGTTGCTGCTGGTGCTGGTGCTGCATCTGCTGCAGCTGTTGCTGTTGTTGCTGTGAGTTGCCTGGTCCGATGGGAGGCTGCCCGCCACCTGTCAAACTCTCCCCCACCGGCCCTGTCCTGCCGAGCCTGCCAGGCCCGGATGTTGCCACCACAGCAGCAGCAGCAGCAGCAGCAGGCGGAGGTTCCGGAGCGTGGCGGTCGAGCTGTGAGAGCAGCAGAGAGACTTGTTCAAGAATGAAGGGGCGGAACTGGGGGCAGGGTAAGGAACCTCCGAGAGTGAGGTCCCCTCGAATCACACCACTTGCGGCTGCAGCAGCACCAGCGGCAACACCAGGCGAACCATTAGCTACTGCCTGTTTGCCGGCGCCGCTGGCGGCAGCACTACCAGCCGCTGCAGCAGCAGCGGAAACAGCAGCGGACGCTCCCGGGAATTTCGCGACGAGACCGGGCGGCAAGTCGTAGGTTTTGGGCGGCGGGGCGGGCTGCAGCCAGACGAAGTCGGGGCCGAAGCAGCGCATGTGGATGGCGAAGTCGTGGCGGTAGATGATGCGGAAGGAGAAGGGGCCGCGGGGGACGATGCTGATGTCCCCCGGGAGCAGCGTGCAGAGCGTTGCCCCCAGCATCAACCCTCGAGATGCCCCCGCTGCTGCCGCTGCGGATGCTGCTGTGGCTGCATTGGCAGTAGCAGCAGCGGCAGTAGAGGCTGAGGCAGCGGCAGAAGCAGCAGCTTCCGGTGCTGCTGCTGTAGTGGCAGGTGGAGTAGAAGCAGAAGCGCCTGCAGACGCAGTGGAATGTGGGGGCCCACTAGAATGCGATGGTTGTGCGTGTGGTTGCTGCTGCTGTGGTTGCAGGGGTGCGGGGTGATGGTTGTGGTGCGAGGGCAGCAGCGCGGGGGGAGGGACGGAGACGGAGCGGAGGGGGCGGATGGCGGAGTGCAAGGCGTGGAGAGGCGCTGCTGTGAGGCGGATGGCGTCAATCAACAGGCCTGCATCGCCCATGCGAACGCACTCCTCCAGGTACTGGTGGGGGGGAGAGGAAAGGATCAGAGGGTTGTTTGTTGGGGGTGAGTTTTGAGGTGTCTCAAACCTAACCTACTTGACCACGGATCAACAGGCCGGCATTGCCCATGTGCACACACTCCTCCAGGTACTGGTGCGGGAGAGAGAGAAAGATCAGAGGGTTCTGGGGGTTGGGCAGAGTTTGGGGGGGGGGGGGAAGAGAAGGAAGCAGATGATTGATATGACGAGAATGCGAGCATGTGATCAGCGCTAATGGTGTGGATGGACGAAGAGAGGTGAGGGAACGGGGATTGGGGATTGGGAATGTGAGCCATTTGCACCTGTGTGTGCGGCCACAAGTCGTCTGGCGAAACCACCACTCTGCAATCCACAGCCAGCGGCAGATCGCCCCCGTCATCAGCCCCGGTACCTCCACCAGCAGCAGCAGCAGCAGCATCAGCATCAGCATCAGCATCAGCAGCAGCACCACCTCCATTGCCCCCTACATCGGCACCATCCTCCCTTTTCACTGCCACCGCCCCCTGGCCGCCCTCCTCCCCTCCTGCACCTGAACCAGCACTAGCAGAAGAAGCAGCACCAGCCGCAGCATTAGAAGCATAAGCACTAGAGGCAGCCGGGATCCATTGAATCTGGACGCGGACAGGACAGCCTGGCATGAGCATGCCGCCATCATATGCCAGACACACTGACGTGGGCCCCACAGACACCACCCGAACCGCCCGCCTCACCTCCCCCCACCTTCTCACCATCTCCTCCCTATCCCCCGCCTCCTGCACTCCCCACACCTCCCCCCCTCTCCCATCCGTTCCCCCTCCTCCTCTCCCCTCACCTCCCGCTCCTCCCCACCCTCCACCTCTCCCTCCCCCTGCTCTCCCCCCGCCTGCTGGCTTGCGTCGGACAATCAGAATGCGTCTGAGCTGGCGGACGAAGAGGAAGGCCTCCCATGCGCACGCCAGGTCACGTGCCATGCTGGAGATGGCGGATTGGCTCATGCTGTGACACGTCAGCAGGAGCCCCTTGGGAGTGCATCGCATGCCTGGGGCAACGTCCCTGTTTCTGAGGCTTGAGGCAGCAGCGGTGGTGGGGGTGGGGGTGGCAGTGGTGGCAGTAGCGGTGGTGATGGTAGTGCTGCTGCTGCTGCTGCTGCTGTCACTCTCCTCGCTGAAAGCCACTCCTTCCCGCGCCCAGTCGCAAGAGCGAAGCAGGCGCTTCATCCGAAGCTCAGCCCCTCCGCCTCTGCTCTCTCCCCTTGTTCCGAGCCTCATGGCACCAGGCTCGACAGCACCTGGCTCGATAAAACCAGGCTCGGCAGCACCGCCTGCTGATATGGTTTGAAGGTCAGGTTCGGCTAGTCTAGAAAAAGTTCCTCCTGGCTCGATCTCCTGCTGCTGCTGCTGTTGCAGCTGCAGCTGGCAAAACTCCTGAAGCCGCCACAAGCTGACAAAATGCTGAGCTGGCACCAGCACGGACCAGCTGGCAGTAGCCGGCGAGTCGGATCTCAACAGCAGGCACTGCCAGGAGGAGGCGGTATCTGGGGGCAGCGCAGCTGCTGCTGCAGGGGGGGGAAGCCCGGGATGCGAAGCAGGGTCTGGGGCGTGACGAGGGAGGAGGGGCGGATGGGGGATGGGGCAGCAGCAGGAGAGGAGGAGCAGAGGGACGAGGCAATGAGGGGCGGCAGGCAGGGTGAGAAGGAGGAGGAGGAGGAGGAGGGCGAGAGTGAGAAGGGGGAGGAGGGGGAGGAGGAGGCGGCAGAGAGGAAGGGGACGGTGGAGAGACCGGAGGAGGAGAGGAGGGAGGAGAGCAGGGAGTGTTTGACGGCAGCAGCAGCCAGGTGCTGGGCTCGGGACAGCACCAGGGGGAAGACGAGGGACGCAGGGGCCTTGCCCCTCCCTGCCAGCTGTACCAGCTCCTGCAGCGGCCGGCCAATCAGAGCGCAGCGAAGGGGTCGGGACGAGTGGTGCTGCTGCTTGCGCTTTGAAGCAGATTTGCCTGATGCTCCACCGCCCATTGTCACATCAGCATCAGCATCAGCATCAGCATCAGCATCAGCATCAGCATCAGCATCAGCATCAGCATTGTCATTGTCATTGATGCCGTCCTCATCCATTGCCGCACCACCAACGGAAGCAGCCACAGCTTGCTCTTTCCCTTCTCCCTCCTCATACCCCCATCCGTGCCTCTGATACTCCTCACCACCATCATCCTCCCAATCATCTCCCAAATCGAAGAGCTCCTCCCACCCTCCCACCATCTCCTTTCTCCCTCCTTCCTCCCCTTCCCCACCTCCCCCCCCTCTCTCCCCTCCTCCCCCTTCCCCCTCAATAGCACCAGCCAGGGCGACCACCTCGGGATCTCCAGCCGCCAGCACCAGCGCACCCACCTCCAGGGCCAACCAGCGTGTGACACCTGGCGGGGCAAGCGACGCCACAAACGACTGCCCCGCTGCTGCTGCCCCTGCTGCTGTAGCAGCGGGAGCAGCAGCACCAGCAGTAGCACCAGCAGCAGCACCAGCGTCAGTGGCAGTGGCAGCAGCAGCAGCAGAAGCGGGATGGGGCAATGAAGTTGGCAGCGGTGGGGGAGACGTGAGTTGGATGAGGCGGAAGGAGAGAGAGAAGTCCGTTTGGATGTGAATGGCGAGGAGATAGGGCGGCCAGCAGGCGGGGGTGAGAGCAGGAGGGGTGGAGGGAGGAGCGAGGTGGGGTGACGAGGGAGAGGAGTGGGTGGGGTACGGGAGAAAAGGAGGGTGCGAGAGGGAGAAGAGGAGTGTGCGGGGCGCGGGGGGGAGAGTGAGGGAGTGGGCTGGGTCGTCGGTGGTAAAGCGGATACCTGCTGTTCCGGCTTCATAGGGCTGGTATGGGGAAGAGAAGGGGGGAAAGGGGGGAGGAGGGGGGGTGGGGGGGGGGGGGTAGAAGCAGGGGAAGAAGGAAAGGGTTGAAGAAGACAGGTGTAAGATTTTTTAGGATTCTCAAAAATCTCTCACAAGGGTTAAGGGAAGAGTGAGGCAATCGGAAGGCGAAGGCAAAAGAAGGGAAAGATGGAGAAAAGGTATGAAAACAAGCACGAGGACTGACAAAGAGAGCAACTAACGGCCTAGAACACCGGTGGAAAAAGGGAGGGAAACAGAGAGGCCTGACCACGGGCGACGTAAATTATGTTGACCTGCGCCCTGCAACCAACTGACCGCCAGACCCAGCGCAATTCCAGCTGGTGTACGTCGTGCATGCAGGCAGTGCAGCCGCCGCAGCAGCAGCACCAGCGCATTCCCATACGACACATTAGACCCACAGCTATTGCCAACTCACCACTAGACCCAGGGAAATTCCAGCTGCTGCTATCTGCACATGCAGGCAGTGCAGCCGCCGCAGCAGCACCAGCGCATTCCCATACGACACATTAGACCCACAGCTATTGCCAACTCACCACTAGACCCAGGACAATTCCAGCTACTGTCAGTTGAGCTGGCAGGTAGTGCAGTAGCAGTGGCACCAGAGCGTTCCCATTAGACCCACACCACAGCTATTGCCAGCTCACCACTAGACCCAGTCACCCAGGGCAATTCCAGCTGCTGCTATCTGTGCATGCAGGCAGTGCAGCCGCAGCAGCACCAGAGCATTCCGATGTGCCAACAGCTATTGCCAACTCACCACCAGGCCCAGAGCAATTCCAGCTGCTGTCAGTTGTGCATGCAGGCAGTGCAGCCGCAGAAGCACCAGCGCGTCGCCAGCTGTCGAGCTCCCACTGTTCAGCGCGCCCTCCACCTCCCTCGCCGCCGCCCAGGACAAACCCTTGCCGCCCACCCACACCTCGTACCGCCCGGTCCGCGTGTTTACCCCGATTCCAACAAACCACCCGCCACACGCTCTCACCCACAGCACCTCCCTCCCTCTCAGCCCAGATACGTCCCTACCCAACACATCCCAGCCCCTGCTGCTGCCTCCCCCCTGCTGTCTATCCCTTGGTGCTACCCTTTCCCCACCGTCTCCCTGTCTCCGCCGCTTGCCTCTCGGTGGGTTATGGGGTGGAGCGCCACCACCGGCGCCACCACTGCCACGAATACCATGAGCAAGAGCCAATGCGCCCAGCAGTTTCTTCCGCTTCCCCAGCACACTGCCCAATCTCTTCCCAACTTGCTTCAGATCCCCTTCCCCCCCCTCCTCCTCTTCCTCCCCGCCTCTCTTCTCCCCCAAAGTCGCTGCACTTTTCGCTGCACCTTCAGGCGAAAGCTGGAAAGGAGGAGGAGGTTTTGGGACGGAAGAGAAAGAAGAGGAGCGTGTGGACGGAGGAGGGAAGGAGAGGACGGCGTCTTGGGGGCCGGCACAGAGCAGCGGGGAGGCCAGGAGGTCGCGCCTTAGACTCGCCAGCTTGGCGTGTGCAGAGCACTGGGCGGCAAACAGCACCAGCTGCTCCACGTCGATCCTTGTCGGGTCCAGATACAGACAAACCTCGCCGCCCGTCACGGGGTCCACCACAGACGGCACGTGCTGGCAAACCAGCTGGGCGGGCAGCGGCTGGCGTGAGAACAGGGTGGAGGGAGGAGGAGCAGGAACAGCAGCAGCAGCAGCAGCAGCAGCAGCAGCAGCAGCAGGGGTAGTGGCAGTACCAGGGGCAGACGCAGGAGGGACAGCGGGAGGAGGGAGAGGGGTGGCGGGGGGTGGGGCGAGAGAGAGGGTGAGGCAGGGGGGCGGTTCCTCGTCGCTCTCGAAGCGGGCGATGCCCAGGCGGCCCAGCACTGCAGAGGAGCCCCCCGTGCTGTCAGACTTGCCCGGGTCCAACCAGTACCATATGTGCAGCAGCGCAGGGGATACTGCTGGTACTGCCACCCCTCCCACCACACCCCCTCCTGCTCCCGCTCCTGCTCCTGCCCCGTCTGCCCCAGCACTCTCCCCTTCCTTCGCTCCTGCACTTGACGCTGCTGCTGCAGAACCACTGCCCCTCCCTCCCCCCAATCCGCCCCTACCCCCTATCCCTCCCGCCCCTCCTTTACTCCCACTAGGTCCCACAGACGTCCCAACACCCCCTCCCGCTCCCCCTCCCCCTCCTTCCCCTCCGTCCCGGGCAGCGACTTCGAACTTGAGGTGGTGGAGCCAGCGCGCGGAGGGGGAGGAGCGCGCCGAGCAGAGGGCGTGCAGCTGCAGGAGCACCTCGTCCGCCGCCACCCCGCAGCACACCTGGTGCAGCACCACGTGGAGGGCCGTGATTGGGTCTTCGGCTGCTGCTGCCATGCGCCGCTGCAGCTCGTCCGCCAGGGCCAGCTGCTGCACCTCGCTCATGGGCACGCCCTTGTGCTTGCCTGACAAGCCCTTCTGCCTCCGAAGTAGCTGCTGGCGCCTTTTCCTGTGCCTTGTGCCCTCTCCCGAACCCCCGTTGGTAACCTCTTCTCCCTTTCTCCCTCCACCTCCCTTAGTGTGCTTGTCAGCTTCTTCCTCCGCTTCCTCCTCTTCCTCCTCTTCTTCCTCCTCCAAATCTTCCTCCTCGCCCTCAGTCACGTTCTCAGCGCCCCGTACAAGAATCTTCACTTTAATCACCCGCCAGAGCGACAGATTAGAAGCATAACCCAAAGTGAGGTCCGCCTGATACTCCCCCTCCACGTACACGCGCACCTTGCCCCCTCCCACGCGCACCCTAGTGACCTCCGGGGGAATAGGCGTCTCCAGCAGCCGTGTCCTCAGGAACGAGTTGATCTGCTCTATGGCTGCTCGCCTGCCGCTGCGCCTGGCGGTTCTTAGCCTCACCCTCTTCTCTTTGCTTGTCTCCTTACTCTCTGAGAGAGAATCAGCAGCTGCAGTGGGGCCAGGTGTGGCAGTTGTGACAGCCGCAGCAGGAAAAGCTTCAGCTTCTTTATCACTTGGAGCAGCAGCAGCAGCAGCAGCAGCATCAGTCTCAGCAAGCTTGGCTCCTTTCACATCTACGGATGTCAAATATTTTTCCTCCTCTCCTTCCCCCTCCCCTTCCCTCTCCCCGTCACCCTCCTCCTCCTCCTCCTCCTCCTCTCCCAACAACCTCATAGCTTCAGCAGCTGCCGTCGCCGCTGCAGCAACCCCTGCCGGCGGCACCAACCCTGCTACCGAGGCTGGCCCGAGCCTCTGCAGCATCAGGTTCGGCGGGAGCTGCAGATCGTCAACGCAAGCGGGTAACCGGCGGTAAGCGTGCGTGGAGAGAATTTCGACGGCAGTAGGAACGTCATACAGAGGTGCTCTGGCCCCTTGTATCTGTGCGTGAGTCATCCATAGTCCGTCTGCTGCTTGGACAAACGCTGCGTCATGGTTGGCCAGCGCAGTCCACGCTTGCTTGCACCGCTCGATTACTGGCAGCTGGTTACACCATTTCGCTATAACGAGCAGCCGCAGAAGCTTCTGTCGCGTATGCCAGAGGAATTTCAGCAGAGCGACCTTTCTCTGTTTCTCGTCGTCCGGACCTCGCCCACTTGCCTCTGCCATCGCACGCGACGTCGCCAGCGATTCGCTCAGTTGTCGCAGCTCTCGCATGGTCTGCTGAACTGTCGCAGTCGTTAGCAGGCTCAGCGGGACGGTCTCCTCCACCGTCGGCGGAAGCATCGCTGGCGGACCTGGCGGAGCAGCCATTCCAGGCGGAGGCGGAAGAGCAGGTGGCGGAGCTTCCCCCACCCCTGCCATTTCCGCCAGTGGCTTTAGTCCAGAAAACTATTTAAGGCGAACACTCAGGAATTTCGACAGTATTATTCTGCGGCTATGGCTGGAACTATCTGCGATTCACCCGGAAACCTAGAATCTCCTAATTCTGGTGCTGATGCGGCGGCACATGATATTCTAGGTTTGAGGCGTACAGAACAAGCAGCCACTGAAGTAGCAGTCGGTGTCGGCAATCCCAAGGTCCGAAAGGTTTTGGCGTCAGGAGGAGCCAGGTTTGAAAACGCGGACGAAAAGCTGGCTTGAACGAATCTGGTTACCGAGCGGACAAAGCAGCAACCCAAAACACAACTTGAAAAACAATTGTCATATTGACTTCATGAAGTCACATTACCTCATTCCCCCAAGAAGCGATTATTGACTAACAAAGCCTTAAGGTTACATGTAAAATCAAGGAATACGTAAAGAGCTTAAGAATCATCAACAAACACGCGAGGCCTCGCCATCTCCTCCTTTTCGCTCAGCTCCTCGTACTGATACCAGTCGTCGGCGAACCATCCAACAGGCATGGGAGCCCTCACGAACACCTCAATGCCCTTGGGCACATGCACCAGCAACTCCACATCGTTCGCCTGCTTCTCAAATGGACCGCTTCTTGCAAAACCAGCCGTGTCTGAGCTCGAATCTTCGAAGCTAGTGACATGATCGGTGAGAGCAGCGCAGGCATCATCCCTAGTGCCAGTATGCGAACTGTTTGTAGCGTCAATGGATGACACGTCAGCATCGGGGTTGGTGCGCTGGCGTGGCTTGACGCCTGACAAGGAGACCCACCCAAGGCCGGAGATTGCGATGTCGGCTACAGGGCTGGTGGATTGGGATGGAAAGAACAGATCACATGCAGAGCGAATTAATGAGAAAATCACACATGAGAACTAAGAAAGAAGCAAAACGCACCTGAGGCACTTGGAAGGCAGGTGAAGGTTGTCGAGAAATAAGAAGGAAAAGAAACGAACCTGAGGCGCTTGGCAGGCAGTTGAAAGGAGAAGGACCGCTGCGATGGCAAGCCCTCCCAGGCAGGCTCCTCCAAGGGCTGGGATGGCGGCACGAGCAGCCGACCAACCTCAGCCTGCCACGTCAGACACAGAGGTAAGGGAAATGAGGAGAGTGTTCGGCAATAAAGAGAAAAGGGGGTTTCAGTGAGTTGAAACGCGTCCCAGATTAGTGGGGAGAGGGCTGAAGAGAGTCAGTGGAAGCAAGCAAGAGAACGCGGAGTGGGAAGTGGTGGGAGGAGGTGAGGAGAGATGACCTCGTAGAAGGCGTGAGCGTGAGTGGTGGGCACAGAGGACACTCTGATGGCCACGGGGCCAAAGAAGGTGAGAGCTGTGCCAGGTGGTGCCTTCACCACATCGATCCGAACAAGGCCGCCCCAAAAGAGAGAGGTCCCCTGAAGCCCCTCCTGCACTCCATCTCGCTTCTCTGCACCACCTTCCCCTCCTGCCATTCCCCCCTCCTCTGTCTGCTCCCCCTTCTCCTCTTTCTCCGCCCCTTCCTCGCGGCTCTTTCCAGCGGCTTCTAGAGGCCCTGTGACAACGAACGGTCTCAGCCGTCGCTTTGGGCCGAGATGATGCAGATCCCACGGATGCATCATGGCCGCCATGCGATGGTGCAGATGCACCCCGGGCGTGTCGTACAGATCCTGGCGCGCATACGGGGAGGAGGAGAAAGGGGGGGGAGGGAGGGGGTGTTTGGGGGGAGCAGTTAGAGCACTCAATCCAGCATTCCCATGCAACGAGGGCTGCGGCCATGCGATGGTGCAGATGCACCCCGGGCGTGTCGTACAGATCCTGGAGAGCATATGGGGAAGAGGGGAGAGGGGGGGGGGGGGGGGGGGGGGTGTTTGGGGAGCAGTTAGAGCACTCAATTCAACGTGGCCATGCAACGAGGCTGCAGGCAGCCATGCGATCATGCAGATCCAGGGAGAGGCAGAATGGATGCCACGTCGGGTAGTGGCAAGGGGGTTAGTGGAATGGGGGGTAACGGCACGGGGGATGGCATCCCCCCCCATGCATCTCCCCCCATGCATCCCCCCCCCCATGCATTCCCCCCCCATCCCCTCCCCATCTGTTCCCCCACCTGCATCCCCTCCTCCCATGCATGCCCCACATGGGGGGTAGTGGCACGGGGGGTAGTGGCACGGGGGGTAGTGGCACGGGTGGTAGTGGCACGGGTGGTAGCAGCACGGGGGGTAGTGGCACAGGCGGTAGTGGCACGTTTGACGTCCCAGGAATGAGGCAGAAGGGGCCCAGGGTAGTGCCAGGCACGTCAGAGGCGACGGGGCGATGGTGCTGTGGCTTGAGAGCAAAAAGGAGCCAGTGATTATCAGCGTCATCCTTCACTCACCCCGCCTCCAGTGAACGCCTTGATGCAGATGGGCCCCAGGGTGGTCCCTGGCATGGCGGACGCCACGGGGCGACGGCGCCGTGCCGCAGCTGCCATGATGTCTCGGCTGGCCATCTCGTCTGCGAGGGGTGGGGGGGGGGGGTGAGGAATGGGGGGAGGAATGTGATGGGTGGAGTGACGGGGCGCTGCTGCCATGGTCTCCTGTTTTAATCGCTGTTAAGAGAAGAGCTCCAGTTTTTTCCAAACTCTTGGCTATGTAAGCTCTAAGCATTTACTGCTTTTTCAAACTTGTGTAAACTGACTTCTGTCACTGCGCTCACTGGAAGAATGTCCGACGATCCGCATACTACTTGGGATAGACTCCTCGCGTACCTAGCAAGGCGCAGATGAACGCAGACTTGCCCACGTTGGCTGCCCCCTGGGAGAGACGCAGAGAAGCAGGAGTGGGGCGGAGGGGAGAGATCTGAGTTTAAAGAATGAGAACGATTCCTCCTTAGATGTAGGGGGGGGGGACGGAGGGAGAGAGGGAGAGAGGGTGAGAGGGAGAGAGGGAGAGGGAGAGAGGGAGAGAGGGAGAGAGGGAGAGAGGGAGAGAGGGAGAGCGGTGGATGAGACACAGGGAGGTAGAGGCTGTTGAAGGAGGTTGAGGAAGCAAGGGCGTGGAGAGGGGCAAGGGCGTGGAGAGGACAAGGAGCCAGACAAGCCAGGAAGAGCGAGGCAGGAGGAGACGGGCAAAGCAGAGAGAGGGTGTGCGTGGTAGGGTGGGCTCGTTGCAGAAAGGGGCACGCGATCGATCGGCAGGCAAGAGAAGACGCATGACCTTCCTTTGTGAAAAGACGTGCACTCACCAGCACGTAGACATCGCGGCCCTGCAGGCATGTGCGGGGGACGAGGAGGGAGAAGAGGGAGAAGAGGGATGGACGGAAGGAAGGAAGGAAGGAAGGAAGGAAGTGGTCAGTTTGTGGCATGGCATGGCAAGGCCAACTCATTACAAGAGGTGATATGACATCACGGAAGGCATACGGCCACGAAAAAATAACCGGGAAGGGAGGATTGGAGGGGGGGGGGACGAAAGGAGGGGGGAGGAGGAGAATGAGGGGGAGAGAGCAAAAGAGAGAGTGAGGGGGAGCAAAAGAAGGAAGGAGAGCAAGGAGAAGGTGGGCGAGATGGCAACCGAAAGAAAACAACGGGTGGCCACTCAAAACCTGTCACGACAGCCACACACACCTGGCGTTCGCGCTGAATGGTGGCAGCCACTGATGACAGCCCTGTGCGCGCCTTGGAGCTCACAAAGTGCACTGCCAGCACACTGGGAGGAGGGGGGAGGAGAGACGGGGAGGGATGCAGAGGCGATAAGAGGAGAGGGGTTGTGATGGGCTGAGAACTCAAGGCACACCTTGGAGCTCACAAAGTGCACTGCCAGCACACTGGGAGGGGACGGGGGGGGGGGCGTGAGGGGTGAAACGAGTAGGCAAATGTGGTCAGCAGGAGCAGGGATGCAGAGGCGTGCATGACACCAGACCAGACGCCTTTCCCTATTTTCGATTCGACTACAAAGGCCTTCCCCTACCTCTCTACTCCCTTGAGCTTCTTTCTGGTCTTCCCCTGCCACCAGGCGCCCATTCCGCCACAGGCTAGCCGTTCATCCAAAAGCCTGCATTTGAGTCGACTCAAAAGCCTACCACCACGCGCCCATTCCGCCCATTCCGCCACAGCTAGCCGTTCATCCAAAAGCCCAAACCTTCAAGCTTCAGCCCCCTGACTGTGCGGTGTGCACAAAGCCTTGGACTCGCCCAGCCCAGCCCAGCACTTGACTTGAGCTTCTTCTAAACCCTGGACTCATTTGAGCTTCTTCTAAACCCTGGACTCACTTGAGCTTCTTCTAAACCCTGGACTCACTTGAGCTTCGTCAAAACCCTGGACTCACTTCACTTGGACTTCTTCTAAACCCTGGGCTCGCTTGAGCTTCTGCTAAACCCTGGACTCACTTGAGCTTCTTCTTAGCCACAGCCGACAACACCCAGTCCGCCAGCGGCTCCATGTGCGTGCCCTCCGGTACCAGGTCCACCTGCGAGGGGGGGGACGAGGCACACGTGTGTGTGTGTGTTCACGTGTGTGTGTATGTGTGTATGTGTGTGTGTGTCTGTGTGTGTCTGTGTGTGTGTGTGCGTGTGTGTGTGTGTGTGGTGAAGCAGCGGCAGGGGGAAGGGGGCAGGGGGCAGGGGAGTCCAACAGCCCACAGCACCCAGTCCGCAATCGGCTCCATGTGAATGCCCTCTAGAGGGCAGAGGTGTGGAGGTGTGGAGGTCTGGGGGTCTGGAGGTTTGGAGGTGTGGAGGTGTGGAGGTATGGAGGTGTGGAGGTATGGAGGTGTGGAGGTGTGGAGGTGCGGAGGTGTGGAGGTATGGAGGTATGGAGGTGTGGAGGTGTGGAGGTGTGGAGGTGTGGAGGTGAGGAGGCATGGAGGTGTGGAGGTGTGGAGGCGTGGAGATGTGGAGGTGTGGAGGTGTGGAGGTAGACATGGGCAAAAATACAATTACTGTACACGATGGGATTTATTGTTTATCGCGCGATTTTCTTTAATCGAATTTAATCGCGTGCAAAAATATGCGATTTTAAAGAGATCGCGCGCAATGTCGAAATACACTTTGTCGCGAAATCTCGCCAGCAAGGGGTGGGGGGGAAACGCAAAGCCCAAAAACGCACCAAAGGGATTCTCTTTTGGAGAATCTCTTTGGCAATTCGTTTGAAGCCTAGCACACACACCATCCATGCCCACAACCCCTCTTTCTCAACAAATTCGGGTGGATCAACACCCATTTCGGAGCAGACTTGGCCACGCCGCAACAGGGTTTAATCGCGCAAGGTGTTTTGCCCCTTTCTTTGGGGACTTTTTGGGAGGGTTTTATTCTGGCCAGGAAAGCGATGCGATTAAAATCGCATCGCGCTATTTAAATAATCGCTGCGCGCGATTTTGATTTAAATCGCCCTCTGAACATGATTTGCGATTTAAAATTCCTGGGAAATTAAATCGCTCGCATCGGCTTTTGGTAAATCGCCCCCCATCGTGATGCGATTTAAATCGCAATCGCGATTTGCCCATGTCTATGTGGAGGTATGGGGGTATGGAGGTTGGGGTTGGGCATACCCTCCAGGGCACACCAGGCGGGGCCAAGAACTCCGTCCTCCTCACCTTGATGATCACGAGAACAACGGGGTTGTGCCCACGATATCACGCGTCCAGGACAGGAAGCTCCCACTGAAGTCAACGCGGTCAACGAGCTTCACTGCCAGCGCCTTCTCCCCCTTGCATACTCTGTAGCAACTCAACACCATTCAAGCTCCACCCCGCTCCCCCTTCCCTTTTCCTCACCTTGGTAATGACAAGGACAATTGGGTTCGGCCCAACAATATCCCGAATGCGGGACAGGAAGCTGCCGCTGAAGTCAACGAGGTCAACCAGCTTCACCACGAGCGCCTTCTCCCCGCGCACGTACGTCAGCTGCTGCCGCAGCGCCTCCGCTGTCACAAACATGTCGGCCGGGCCGGTAACGCGGTAACCGCCGTGCCCCGTCACTGCCGCCACCATGCGCCCATGGGACAGCTGCTGGCAGCGCGTGCATGCCAGCGACCGCAGCTGCTTGTGACGGCGCTTCTGTGGTTGTGGAAAATCCCGGGGGTGGGGGGGAGGGAGGGAGGGGAGGAAAGGTTTGGGTGGCTGCTGCCATGCCACCATGGGACCGTGGGAGAGCTGCTGGCAGCGCGTGCAGGCGAGAGACCACAGCTGCTTGTGGCGGCGGCGCTTCTGTGATTGCAACGGAAGGGGGGAGGGGGAGGAGGGATGGACTGGGAGGGAGTGATGCGTGTGACTGTGGCTTACCGATCTACGTCTCATAGATCTGCGTTATCAATCCCCTAGGCCCACTTTTGAAACCTTCCTAAACCTTAAGTCTCATAACAGAGCCGGCACTCACCATCTCGTATCTATCAGGAGGGATGTAGCCCGGCGCATCCTCCACCCTGGTCTGCAGCTCCGCCCCGCACCCATAGCACACCGGCACGCCTGGCCTCACGCCCTCCCCGGGCTTCCCCGGTGACGGCACCCCCCGCGGCCGTGATAGCTTCAGCTTGGGGGCGCGCGCAGGGGAGGGGGAGGGGGCGGGGGAAGTGGGGGAAGGGGAGGGAAAGGGGGAGGGGGGAGGCGAAGGGGCGGAAGGTATGGCAGGGGAAGAAGGGGCAGCTGAGGCTAGGGGAAGCAGAGTAGCGCCTGCTGCTGCCGTTGCTGCTGCTGCCGTTGCTGCTGCGGCGGCTGCTGCCCCAGACCCACTTGTCCGTCGCTGGTCCCTGCCCTCCTCCTCATACTCCTCCCATTGCCGCCTGCTGATACTCCTCTCGCCACTGCTGCCGCCTCTGCTCCTCGAACTCCCCTCCCACCCGTCCTCTTCACCCCGTCCAGCACCTCTCGACTCCCCAGTCCGACCAACACCCCTTCCATCCCTATCGAAGCCCCTCTCCCCACCCGCCGCCCACCTCTCCTCTCTTGCGTCCCGTCGCACTCCCAGCGAACTCCTTCCCTCCCTTCTCCCCTCCGCTATACCCTCCCTCTCCCTCGTAAACCCCAAACCCTCGACGCGGCGAGTCTCCTCCCTCCCTAAACCAGGAATTTCTCTTCCCTCTCCCCCTTGGGACCGCCCCATCCTACCACCGTCTTCTCCCCTTCCTCCCTTAAACCCTAACCCCCGCCGTTGCCGTGCAATCCCCTGCTCCTCTAAAACCCTGCGCCTCTCCGCTGCTCCCTCCGCCTCCTCTAACTCCCCCCAACCATCCCCCCCGCCTGCGCTTCCCCTCATCCTCCCCCTCCCCGCCCCTGCATTCCCCCCGTCTCTCCCGCTCCTTTCCCCCCAGCTCCCCTGCACCCCTCCCCCGTCTCCCTGCTGCCGCCTTCCGCCATATCCTCCCCCCTCCCCACCCTGCCCCCCTCTGCGCGGCCCCGCGGATCCCCTCGACCAATCAGAATCGGTCATCCAGCTCTCGTCCGGTTGATCTCTCTGCCCGAACCGAGCGCCAGGTGGCAAAGCCACATCGGCATCGCCGAAAAAATCCTCGCTATAGTCATCGCCGTTATCGGCAGGACGGCGAGTGGACGCACGCGAGTCGTCCCACTCGTCACTATTGTCGTATTCGCCGTCTCTGCCGCCCCGTGGAGCCGCCGAAGCCGCGGCGACGACTGGGGTAGGTGCAGCTGCGGCACGCGCGGGGAAGAAACGCCTGGCACTTAACGCTAATCGCGGTGGCAGATTTAAGTGCGTCGGCTGTAAGTGCGCACGCGGAATGGAATGCTGCGATATAAGGTGAGACTGAAGCTGCGATCCGCTAAGAAACAAGCTGGACCTTGACCCGACTGCTACAGAGTGTGACTGTAACGGGGGACGACAGAGCCTCGGCACGCCGTCAAGCGGCGGAATAACGGCCGCTATGCTCGCGGCTGACATGGCGGCCTCCATGCGAGCTGTGCTGAGCTCAGCAGTGTGCTAGTGAGGTGAGGGCCCCACAGCCTGAAGAAAATGAAGTGAGGAGGTGGGCCGCACAACTCTCTACTTCGCTTCACTTTGGGTGTGTTATCCTCGTTTGTGAAAATCGCGATAACATTCCCTCGCTGCGGTACACCGCACGGTTTGTAAACATTTGAACAATGTAATCCACTGGTCCAGAAATTCGAGCTCAATGATTCCACCTCACCGCCACATCCCCCTCAATGCAAGCGAGGGAGCATGCAAGCGAGGATGCTGCCTCCACGATGGCGAGGCCCGACAGTGCGATAATTCATTCGACGGACTCTTATTCTGCCTGTGAGTCGATTCAAAAGCAGATAACCCATGGGACAGACTCAGACTCACGAACTCAAATAGTCGAATAATCTCCCTCCAGCGTCCATCCGGCAGAGTGTGTCCTCCGCGCGGGCTCCGCCAGCTTTGCCTCAACTTCCTTCTCTTGACGGGTTTCAATCAGGCGCGTCAGCAGCTGAATTCCACTCAGCCCCATGCCGACTTTCCTCCCGCCCCTCTTCTCCCGCCGGCCGGCACTCCAGCCGGCGGCACCTACACTCCGACCGGCAGCGACTGCACCAATCGCTGCTCCAGGGACGTCCTTTCGTGCCTTCCAGCCAATCACATTCAGCCAACGTGGCGGTGCGATCGCAGAGTCAGCGCCTGGTGCGCAGCCACGTGGCCCGAGAGCTGCCCACGTGGCACGGGTCGCGCTGCTGGTCGCCGTCGCTGGCGCGCTCATCGCGTGCGACTTGTGGGGGCTGCAGCTATGGAACAGGGACGTCGCACGGGTCGCACAGGTCGCACAGGTCGCACAGGGGGATCGGAAGGGACAGGCTGAGTCGCAGGTGATGTTGCAAGCAGTGGAAGAGGCGATGGAAATCGGCGGCGACAGGGGCGGGGGGAGTGGAGAAGGCACCTCTCACAGTAGCCCTGGTGACAGCTCTAAGCGTGGCAGCAGCAGCAGCAGCAGCAGCAGCAGCAGCAGCGCGGTGGTGTACAGAGGGGCGCCGTGGAAGGCTGATGTGGGCACATGGCTCGTAGAGTGCAGCGAACAGTTTCTGGATGTGACTGTAGGCGAGGTGAGTGTGTGAGAGATTGGGGGGGGGCGGGGGAAGGGATGGAGTGACAGAGAGAATTACTGCGAGGAGTGGGGAGAGGGAAGAAGGTGGGCCTGAAGCTGAGGAACAAAGGGGTTGAAGAGGTCTAGACGTTGTATAAAGAGAGATAGAATTTCCCTTGTATCGTATGGTCACCATCCCTTGGAGGTCAGCATCACTTGGTTCTGCGTCCTCCCCCAGGCGCTCTTCGCCCACGCATGTCCCGGCAACTGCAGCGGCAACGGCGTGTGCAACCATGAGCTGGGGGAGTGCAGATGCCGACACGGGTACTCAGGTGCTTCTTCAGGTGGAGGCACGGGTGCTCAGGTAGTTCTTCAGGTGAAGGCACGGGTGCTCAGATGAGCCCCTGAGTGTTTCCAGTTGCTACCTGCCCCGTTCCTCACACCCTGGTGGGCCCTTGCCTGCCCCATCGCCTTGCCTGCTATGCTGGGTATTCCTCCTGGTATGCTGGGTATTCCTCCTGGTATGCTGGGCATTCCTCCTGGTATGCTAGGTATTCCTCTTGGTATGCTTGGTATTCCTCCTGGCATGCTGGGTATTCCTCCTCACATGCTGGGTATTCCTCCTGGCATGCTGGCCGTTCCTCCTCACATGCTGGGTATTCCTCCTGGTATGCTGGGTATTCCTCCTGGTATGCTAGGTATTCCTCCTGGTATGCTGGGTATTCCTCCTGGCATGCTGGGTATTCCTCCTGGTATGCTGGGTATTCCTCCTGGTATGCTTGGTATTCCTCCTGGTATGCTCGGTATTCCTCCTGGTATGCTGGGTATTCCTCCTGGTATGCTTGGTATTCCTCCTGGTATGCTGGGTATTCCTCCTGGTATGCTAGGTATTCCTCCTGCTATGCTGGGTATTCCTCCTGCTATGCTGGGTATTCCTCCTGGTATGCTTGGTATTCCTCCTGGTATGCTGGGTATTCCTCCTGGTATGCTTGGTATTCCTCCTGGCATGCTGGGTATTCCTCCTGGTATGCTTGGCATTCCTCCTGGTATGCTTGGCATTCCTCCTGGTATGCTTGGCATTCCTCCTGGTATGCTTGGCATTCCTCCTGGTATGCTGGGCATTCCTCCTGGTATGCTAGGTATTCCTCTTGGTATGCTTGGTATTCCTCCTGGCATGCTGGGTATTCCTCCTCACATGCTGGGTATTCCTCCTGGCATGCTGGCCGTTCCTCCTCACATGCTGGGTATTCCTCCTGGTATGCTGGGTATTCCTCCTGGTATGCTGGGTATTCCTCCTGGTATGCTAGGTATTCCTCCTGGTATGCTGGGTATTCCTCCTGGTATGCTAGGTATTCCCCCTGGTATGCTGGGTATTCCTCCTGTCATGCTGGGTATTCCTCCTGGTATGCTTGGTATTCCTCCTGGTATGCTGGGTATTCCTCCTGGTATGCTAGGCATTCCTCCTGCTATGCTGGGTATTCCTCCTGCTATGCTGGGTATTCCTCCTGGTATGCTTGGTATTCCTCCTGGTATGCTAGGTATTCCTCCTGCTATGCTGGGTATTCCTCCTGCTATGCTGGGTATTCCTCCTGGTATGCTTGGTATTCCTCCTGGTATGCTGGGTATTCCTCCTGGTATGCTGGGTATTCCTCCTGGCATGCTGGGTATTCCTCCTGGTATGCTTGGCATTCCTCCTGGTATGCTTGGCATTCCTCCTGGTATGCTTGGCATTCCTCCTGGTATGCTTGGCATTCCTCCTGGTATGCTTGGTATTCCTCCTGGTAAGCTCGGTATTCCTGCTGGTATGCTTGTTATTTGTCCTCGTATGCTCGGTAAGGACAAGGCGTGGGTATTCCTCCTGGTATGCTTGGTATTCCTCCTGGTATGCTGGGTATTCCTCCTGGTATGCTGGGTATTCCTCCTGGCATGCTGGGTATTCCTCCTGGTATGCTTGGCATTCCTCCTGGTATGCTTGGCATTCCTCCTGGTATGCTTGGCATTCCTCCTGGTATGCTTGGCATTCCTCCTGGTATGCTTGGTATTCCTCCTGGTAAGCTCGGTATTCCTGCTGGTATGCTTGTTATTTGTCCTCGTATGCTCGGTAAGGACAAGGCGTGGGTATTCCTCCTGGTATGCTTGGCATTCCTCCTGGTATGCTTGGCATTCCTCCTGGTATGCTTGCCATTCCTCCTGGTATGCTTGGCATTCCTCCTGGTATGCTTGGCATTCCTCCTGGTATGCTTGGTATTCCTCCTGGTAAGCTCGGTATTCCTGCTGGTATGCTTGTTATTTGTCCTCGTATGCTCGGTAAGGACAAGGCGTGGGTATTCCTCCTGGTATGCTTGGCATTCCTCCTGGTATGCTTGGCATTCCTCCTGGTATGCTTGGTATTCCTCCTGGTAAGCTCGGTATTCCTGCTGGTATGCTTGTTATTTGTCCTCGTATGCTCGGTAAGGACAAGGCGTGGGTATTCCTCCTCGTATGCTTGGCATTCCTCCTGGTATGCTTGGCATTCCTCCTGGTATGCTTGGTATTCCTCCTGGTAAGCTCGGTATTCCTGCTGGTATGCTTGTTATTTGTCCTCGTATGCTCGGTAAGGACAAGGCGTGGGTATTCCTCCTCGTATGCGTGGCATCCCCATGTCTGCCCCATCCCCTTGTCTGCCCCATCCCCATGTCTGCCCCATCCCCTTGTCTGCCCCATCCCCATGTCTGCCCCATCCCCATGTCTACCCCATCCCTTGTCTGCCCCATCCCCATGTCTGCCCCATCCCCATGTCTGCCCCATCCCCATGTCTGCCCCATCCCCATGTCTGCCCCCATCCCCATGTCTGCCCCATCCCCATGTCTGCCCCATCCCCTTGTCTGCCCATCCCCCCATGTCTGCCCCATCCCCATGTCTGCCCCATCCCCATGTCTGCCCCATCCCCATGTCTGCCCCATCCCCATGTCTGCCCCATCCCCATGTCTGCCCCATTCCCCATTGTCTGCCCCATCCCCATGTCTGCCCCATCCCCTTGTCTGCCCCATCCCCATGTCTGCCCCATCCCCTTGTCTGCCCCATCCCCATGTCTGCCCCATCCCCATGTCTGCCCCATCCCCATGTCTGCCCCATCCCCATGTCTGCCCCATCCCCTTGTCTGCCCCATCCCCATGTCTGCCCCATCCCCATGTCTGCCCCATCCCCATGTCTGCCCCATCCCTTGTCTGCCCCATCCCCCCCCCCATGTCTGCCCCATCCCCTTGTCTGCCCCATCCCCATTGTCTGCCCCATCCCCATGTCTGCCCCATCCCCTTGTCTGCCCCATCCCCATGTCTGCCCCATCCCCATGTCTGCCCCATCCCCATGTCTGCCCCATCCCCATGTCTGCCCCATCCCCCCCCATTGTCTGCCCCATCCCCCATCCCCATGTCTGCCCCATCCCCATGTCTGCCCCATCCCCATGTCTGCCCCATCCCCATGTCTGCCCCATCCCCATGTCTGCCCCATCCCCCATGTCTGCCCCATCCCCATGTCTGCCCCATCCCCATGTCTGCCCCATCCCCATGTCTGCCCCATCCCCATGTCTGCCCCATCCCCATGTCTGCCCCATCCCCATGTCTGCCCCATCCCCATGTCTGCCCCATCCCCATGTCTGCCCCATCCCCATGTCTGCCCCATCCCCATGTCTGCCCCATCCCCTTGTCTGCCCCATCCCCATGTCTGCCCCATCCCCATGTCTGCCCCCATCCCCATGTCTGCCCCATCCCCATGTCTGCCCCATCCCCATGTCTGCCCCATCCCCATGTCTGCCCCATCCCCATGTCTGCCCCATCCCCATGTCTGCCCCATCCCCTTGTCTGCCCCATCCCCATTGTCTGCCCCATCCCCTTGTCTGCCCCATCCCCTATGTCTGCCCCATCCCCATGTCTGCCCCATCCCCATGTCTGCCCATCCCCATGTCTGCCCCATCCCATGTCTGCCCCATCCCCATGTCTGCCCCATCCCCATGTCTGCCCCATCCCCATGTCTGCCCCATCCCCATGTCTGCCCCATCCCCATGTCTGCCCCATCCCCATGTCTGCCCCATCCCCTTGTCTGCCCCATCCCCATGTCTGCCCCATCCCCCATTGTCTGCCCCATCCCCCATGTCTGCCCCATCCCCTTGTCTGCCCCATCCCCATGTCTGCCCCATCCCCATGTCTGCCCCATCCCCATGTCTGCCCCATCCCCATGTCTGCCCCATCCCCATGTCTGCCCCATCCCCATGTCTGCCCCATCCCCTTGTCTGCCCCATCCCCATGTCTGCCCCATCCCCATGTCTGCCCCATCCCCATGTCTGCCCCCATCCCCATGTCTGCCCCATCCCCTTGTCTGCCCCATCCCCATGTCTGCCCCATCCCCATGTCTCCCCCATCCCCATGTCTGCCCCATCCCCATGTCTGCCCCATCCCCTTGTCTGCCCCATCCCCATGTCTGCCCCATCCCCATGTCTGCCCCATCCCCTTGTCTGCCCCATCCCCTTGTCTGCCCCATCCCATGTCTGCCCCATCCCCTTGTCTGCCCCATCCCCATGTCTGCCCCATCCCCATGTCTGCCCCATCCCCATGTCTGCCCCATCCCCTTGTCTGCCCCATCCCCATGTCTGCCCCATCCCCTTGTCTGCCCCATCCCCTTGTCTGCCCCATCCCCATGTCTGCCCCATCCCCTTGTCTGCCCCATCCCCATGTCTGCCCCATCCCCTTGTCTGCCCCATCCCCATGTCTGCCCCATCCCCTTGTCTGCCCCATCCCCATGTCTGCCCCATCCCCATGTCTGCCCCATCCCCATGTCTGCCCCATCCCCATGTCTGCCCCATCCCCTTGTCTGCCCCATCCCCATGTCTGCCCCATCCCCATGTCTGCCCCATCCCCATGTCTGCCCCATCCCCATGTCTGCCCCATCCCCATGTCTGCCCCATCCCCATGTCTGCCCCATATCCCCATGTCTGCCCCATCCCCTGTCTGCCCCATCCCCATGTCTGCCCCATCCCCTTGTCTGCCCCATCCCCATGTCTGCCCCATCCCCTTGTCTGCCCCATCCCCATGTCTGCCCCATCCCCATGTCTGCCCCATCCCCATGTCTGCCCCATCCCCATGTCTGCCCCATCCCCATGTCTGCCCCATCCCCATGTCTGCCCCATCCCCATGTCTGCCCCATCCCCATGTCTCCCCATCCCCATGTCTGCCCCATCCCCATGTCTGCCCCATCCCCTTGTCTGCCCCATCCCCATGTCTGCCCCATCCCCTTGTCTGCCCCATTCCCATGTCTGCCCCATCCCCATGTCTGCCCCATCCCCATGTCTGCCCCATCCCCATGTCTGCCCCATCCCCTTGTCTGCCCCATCCCCATGTCTGCCCCATCCCCATGTCTGCCCCATCCCCTTGTCTGCCCCATCCCCTTGTCCCCATCCCCATGTCTGCCCCATCCCCTTGTCTGCCCCATCCCCATGTCTGCCCCATCCCCATGTCTGCCCCATCCCCATGTCTGCCCCATCCCCTTGTCTGCCCCATCCCCATGTCTGCCCCATCCCCTTGTCTGCCCCATCCCCTTGCCTGCCCCATCCCCTCGCGGTATCACTGCTTCTTCTCTCCTCTTTATCCCTGCCGCATTCCCTCTCGCTCTCACTCAACAGGTCCTGACTGCTCGCAGTTGCACCTGCACCAGAGCAACCAGCCCGCATCACCTGAGCAACTCGTGGCTCCCTGGGTGGCATCAATCTGCCCTGTTGCCCACTCCCACCCCCCACCCACTATTCCCATGTTTCAGGTCCTGACTGCTCGCAGTTGCACCTGCACCAGTGCAACCTGCCTGCCTCACCAGAGTGGCCTGTGGGGCCGTGGGTGGCGTCTATCTGTCCGGCTCACTGCGACACCGCAACTGCACTCTGCTTCTGTGGGAATGGCACCCGGTTTCCCCACCGATCCATCACTCACCCCTGTGGGTTTGTGTACAGGTATGTGGGGTGGGGTGGAGGGTGAGTTGAGGGGGGGTGGGGGGGTCATCTGTCTGCCCTGTTGACTGTGGCATGTGCTCTATCCACAGCCACAGCGGTTACTGCAATGGGGGTCCCGCACTGCCACAAGCGCAACGGGGGTCCCGCACTGCAGCGGGGGTCCCCCACTGCAACAGGGGTCCCCCATACCTTTCTGTGACGCATCCCACCTCCTCCCTCCCACCAGGAACCACGACTTTGTGTTCAGCAGGTCGAATTGGACCTTCCCGCCCACACCCAACTGCAACACGAGCCCCGCCTCTCGTACCTTCCAAGTTCCACCCCCCTCGGCCTCTCACCCTCCCCCCAGTAACCACGACTGTGTGTTCAGCGAGGTGGACACGGACCTGCTGTTCCATGCGCGCACCAGCAACTGCACCTCTCCCCTCTCCCCTCTCCCCTCTCCCCTCTCCCCTCTCCCCTCTCCCCTCTCCCCTCTCCCCTCTCCCCTCTTCCCTCCCTCCCTCCCCCCAGGAACCACGACTTTGTGTTCAGCGAGGTGGACACGGATCTGCTCTTCCATGCGCACACTGGCTACTGCAACGCCGACCCCCTTGTGGGCTTCCAGCGCGACTACACGGGGTGCGGCATCTGCGAAGTGGACGGGTACCTGGGGCCCTTCTGCGACACAAGGGTGGAGTCGTTTTGCCTCAACCAGTGCTCGCTGCATGGCGTTTGTCACAGGGGCTACTGCGAGGTGAGTGTTTGCGGGGCTTCCAGCGCGACTACACGGGGTGCAGCATTTGCGACGTGGACGGGTACCTGGGGCTCGCTGCATGGCACATGCCACAGGGGATACTGTGAGGTAGTTTCTACCGCAACGATACTCACGCTTTGGTGTGTGTGTGTGTGTGTGTGTGTGTGTGTGTGTGTGTGTGTGTGTGTGTGTGTGTGTGTGTGTGTGTGTGTGTGTGTGTGTGTGTGTGTCTGTGTCTGTGTGTGTGTGTGTGTGTGTGTGTGTGTGCGTGTGCGTGTGCGTGTGCGTGTGCGTGTGCGTGTGCGTGTGCGTGTGCGTGTGCGTGTGCGTGTGCGTGTGCGTGTGCGTGTGCGCGTGCGCGTGTGCGCGTGTGTGCGTGTGTGTGCGTGTGTGTGTGTGTGTGTGAGTGTTTTTTTTTTTTTTTTTATGGAATAATGACAAGCAAAACACTAGAGAGGCATGAAGTGCTTTCCTTCTTTCCTGCCCCACCTGCTCCAGTGTTCGGACGGCTTCTTTGGCATCGACTGCAGTGTGCCGTCCACTTTCACGCCACATGTGTTGTCCACCATGCCTCACGATTTGCCCCGGCGGCGATTGCGGGACCATGCAGGTGGGGCGCTGGAGGCGCAGGAACGAGGGGGTGGTGCTGTTGCTGGGGTTGTTGCTGCTGCTGGTGGCACAGCAGTGCAGCAGAAGGTGGGTGCAGCAGCGGTGGCAAAGTCACAAGTAAAAGACTTCGACAGCAGCCGACGGGAGCAGCAGCAGCAGCAGCGGCAGCAGCAGCAGCAGCAGGGCGAGGCAGTTCCCACGGGACACTGGGCACGGTGGGCGCAGCGGCGGGCTTTTAGGTCCACTCAAAAGGAGCAGCGCCAGGGCAAGCATGTGGGTGGCAGGCGGTGGGTGCGGCGGCGGCCGCCGCTGATCTATATCTACGACCTGCCAGCTGAGTTCACGTTTAACCACCTGGAGGCAAGGAAGATCCGCGCGTACTGCACCACGAGGTTGTATGGCATGAGGAACGAGACGCTCTACAACCACTTTCAGCTCTATGGCATGGAGGTGCGGTTCTTGTATGGAGGTGGGGTGCAGGTAAAGTGGTGGGTCATGGGTCTTGCAGTCACTCCCTAGTTGCTGATGAACATCTACGACCTGCCGGCTGAGCTGAGCTCACCTTCCACCACCTGGAGGCAAGAAAGATCAGGGCGTATTGTGTCACGAGGCTGTATGGGATGAGGAATGAGACGATCTACAACTACTTCCGGCTGTACGACATGCATTAGGGTTGCAGGCTTGGCAGCCAGTCAACAGCACGTGGTTTGGATTCTGTTGACCCACCACTTTACCTGCACCTCACCTCCAGTCGGTCAATGGCAGTTGGTCAACGGCAGTCGGTCAACGGCAGTCGGTCAACGGCAGTCGGTCAATGGCAGTCGGTCAACGGCAGTCGGTCAACGGCAGTCGGTCAACGGCAGTCGGTCAACGGCAGTCGGTCAACGGCAGTCCGTCAACGGCAGTCGGTCAACGGCAGTTGGTCAACAGCAGTCGGTCAACAGCAGTCGGTCAACGGCAGTCGTTCAACAGCACGAGGTGGCGACTTGATAGCAGCAGTGACCCAACAGCTCCATCCACGTGCTGTTGGGTCACTGCTGCTAACAAGTCGCCATCTTGCCTTAAAAGCCTTCTCGCCTTATATGCAATCTCCCCTCCCCCCCCCCGCTCTGTGTGCCTCCGGTCCCTCCCACCAGCCAGGTGGCAGTCCTGGAGTCTCTACTCGCCAGTCCACACCGGACCACCAACGCGTCGGCAGCTGACTACTTCTTTGTGCCCGTCATGGGGGGATGCATCACCGCCAGGGCTGACGACTCGCCAGGCACCTCCATGCAGGTGTGTGGTTGTCAGGGGTATGGCGTGGCATGTATGGTACTGCGATCATGGGTGCATGCATCACTGCAAGGCTGACGACTGGCCCTCCGCAGGTGTGTGGCTGCCAGGGGTATGCCATGGCATCAGCTTGGCACGGTAGGGTATGTTATGGACTAGGAAGTGGATTTGGAGTCGACTCAAAAGCATGTTACGTCACTGCCAGGGTTGCATCACTGCCTGCCAGGGTTGCATCACTGCCTACATCACTGCCTGCCTGGGTTGCATCACTGCCTGCCAGGGTTGTTGCCAGGGTCGCCTTACCTTCCTCCACACCATGCCTCATCTCCCCCTCTTTCCTTGCAGGGCAGGTTCAAGAATCGCCGGTCGTACATTGCAGCGGACCGCTACCAGCATGCACTGGAGCACATCCAACTCCCTTACCACATACATACCCACTCTCACACCCCCCTCCCGCCCCTCCCTCCCTCCCTCCCCTGCAGGGCAGGTTCAAGAATCGCAGGTCGTACTTTGCAGCGGACTACTACCAGCGTGCATTGGAGCACATTCGATCTGCTTACCCCTACTGGGATAGAACTGGTGGCCGGGACCACATTTGGGTGAGAATGAGCGGAATGGGGAGGGCAGGTGAGTGGGGAGGGGGGAAAGTGGGAGGGTATGTTGGCTGCTATCACAATCTGGTGAGGCTGTGACTATGGCGCTGCTGTTGCTAAACCTGTTTGAAAAGGGCAAAAAGTCCCCACCCACTTATCTCCTCCTGTCTGTCGTTCCACCCCTCCCCCCTCCCCATCTTCACCCCTTCTCTGTCCACATCTCTCTTTCCCTCAGAGGAGTCTCAAAAATAGAATCCGCAGACCTTCCCCTGGGACGAGGGCGCCTGCAGCGCACCCAAGGAAGTCTTTAACAGCATAATGCTGGCCCACTGGGGCAACACCATGGCCGCCCACGTCCACTCCACCACCGTCTGTCTCCCTCCCTCTCCTTTGCTCCCTTTCTTATACCTGCAGACCTTCCCCTGGGACGAGGGCGCCTGCAGCGCACCCCAGGAGGTCTTCAACGGCATAATGCTGTCGCACTGGGGCAACACCATGGCCGCCCACGACCACTCCACCACCGCCTATCTCCTCGACAGCTGGCACGACATCCCAACAGCCCTGCGCGGGCGGCACGCGTGCTTTGACCCGCTAAAGGACGTGGTGATGCCGGCCTTCAAGCCGCCCAGCGCGGAGCACCTGAGGGAGAGGCTGTGGCTCAAGTAAGGAATGCAGCGGTCAAAACTTTAGAGTGTCAAACGTCGGGCCTTAAAGTGCACCCTGAGGATCGCCTCCAACAGCAAGATTAAAATATATATCCCTCAGTGCTGAAGGACGTGGTGATGCCGGCCTTCAAGCTGCCCAGCGCGGAGCACCTGAGGGAGAGGCTGTGGCTCAACTAAGGAATGCAGCAACCACCGCTTTAGAGTGTCAAACCCTAGACCGCACGAACCGAGGATCTTCTCCACCAGCATCTAGGGTACTTGTATAAACAGTGTGTAATGAGTCTGCTTTTGAGTGGACTCAAAAACAGCATCTACGGTATTTGTGTAAGCAAATGTCTGTGTCAACACTGAACGACGTGGTGATGCTGGCCTGCATCCCGCTCAGTGCGTGGTTGTCCCGAGGGAGAAGCTGTGGCTCAAGTGTGGAGACAGAAGGAGAGGGGAGGGGGGGTGGGGGGTTGGGAGAGTGGTGGACAGAGTGTCAAGTAGGGGGCGTGTTAGACTTGCTGCTCTACTTTTCCTTGTGTGATGAGCGATAATTTGAGGGATGGTGCTTGGCCCAGCTGTTGCAAGCCAATCCTGTCCCTCACAAACTCTAGTTTCGAGGAGCCTCAAGAATAGATTCATTTCTGTGACACACTCTCATCCCTCCACTCCTCCCCATTGCACCCTCCATTTTCTCCTCCTGCCCTCTCTCTGTTTCTCTGCCGCTGAACCCCTGCGTTACTGGGAATCTTGGGTCGTTCTGTCTCTCTGCCGCTGCAGCCCAGTGGAGAATCGGCGGCGGCTGTTTTTCTTTGGGGGAAATCTCGGACTCAACTTCACCCACGGCCGGCCAGAAGCCAAGTGAGCACGGGCAGAAACTGAGTGAATCTGAGGAGAGTGAGGGACTGAGGGAAGGCTGGAAGGTTTGCTTAAAAAACCTTGGTGAAAATTTTGATGGTAACCGGTTTCGGCTCGAGAGCCTTCTTCAGACCACAAAGAAATAAGCAAACTGGCTAGCCTATAAATACCACCTCGAGGACTCCTCGCGAGGCATTCCTCCGCGGGGTCTCGACGATGACAAGGGAAAGAGAGATAAAAAAAACAGTACAAATATACTGTAGTCTAACACTTATGAGCAGAAATAAGAAAATTTCCAGCTCTCTTCGGCAGCCTCCAAGCGAGAATGGTTCTTCTTGAAGCGAAAGTTCCGTGTGACATTGTAACGAGATGACCTTTGAGTCGACTCAAAAGGCTCTCGAGCCGAAGCCGGTTACCATCAAAATTTTCACGAAGGTTTTTTAAGCAAGCTCTACGTTCGTTGTACTTAAGCGTTTCTAAAAGTTGCTGCCACGTAAAGACCTATGGCATGTAAGAGGTGTTCAATCGAACTTTCTCTCGATCCTACGATGGCCAACTACAAATTCAACGCTACCAAAACAACACCAACAAGCACCAAGACTGACCGCGCTCCGACACCCCCGAGGCCTACAAGAAATTCACAGCGCATTGCTAATTTCAGGCAGGCTACTCGCAGGGATAAAGAGGTGGTCGTCTCAGAGGAGGAGATACCCACTTCTCCTTCCGCTTCCCGTCATAACAAGAAGCGTGCTCGAGCTTTTTCCGAGGCTACTCTTGCTACGACAATCGACGCTCCCGGGGTTATTCCTGTGGCCATGGCTTTGCCTAGCTCCAGTTCGGTTCCCCGGCAGGAAGCAGTTCAAGGATTCGAGGATATTCCTATTCCTCGCGACACTTTTTTGTCGGACACCTTGGATTTTCTTGGTGCTTTTAACGATGATTTTCTCAACAAACAGGCGACTCCTGCTCAGTTTAACATTTTTAAGAATCAGGTTGTTTCCGAACTTTAAGAAGTTCTTTCTCAAGTATCGGACCCTGATGCAGCAGCACGCCTTCATGGTGGATCAGAAGAAGAACGGCATCATTCCGCATTCTATTCGGATCAAGCCGTTCACTTTTGTCTGTAATACCGAAGATCTTCGCCTCGAAGCCGATAAGGACCTCGAAGCCGCTCGATTGAAGTATTGTCAGAATGCTCTGGAAATTTTGATCGCGATGAAGAAGAAGAAGGCTGACCAAGCTTATGGCGAGGCTACTACTGTCCTTCAGTCGCTACAGAACAACCTCGACCATTTTATCAATCTTAACAAGAAGTCGGACCCTGGAATCAAGCATCCTAAGCTTTTCGACAACTTGGATTTTTTCAAGAGTCGCGTGATTTTGGAGTACCAGAATTCGATTTCAATGTTCTACTTGGACACTAATATGGCTGAAACAGTGCTGAAGCAGAAAAAGGAGGAACTTGACGCAAAGAAGGTAGCTGCGATTACTGAAGCTGAAACCCTCCCGGTGGATACTTCCGTTCGCGAGATTACCCGCCAGGAAGTGGCGAAGATTTTGCACCAAAGTTCTAAACCGGCCACTGCTAGCAACGACAAGAGCCAGCGAGGTGCCAAGAAGAAGAATACTCCGAAGTGCAAGAATGGGGTTTCTATCAAGAAGAGCCATGTTGTTGATCTCAAGTCCAAGAGGACTGGCACGCGTAATGGCAAGAAGCCGAAGCCGACGTAAAAAAAGAAGCAGATTTCTCTTGATAAGCATGCTGAGAAGACGGTGAGAAAGTCTTACACGAAGACTTCGCAGCGCACCCTTGGCAATCGTGGCAGTCATGCCGCAAAAAATGGGGGAGGTGGAGACCGCGGAAAAACTGCTCGACGCTAGTTGATGATGTGCATGCGTATGCATTGATACTCTTCGGGCGACAGACGGAGTACCAACGGCAGTGTCGAGTCACCAACCGCGGGATCCACAACTACAGTAACCATGTCTTCTCACGTCGCGAGCTGAATCTGCTTAGTTTAGGACTGAAGTACATACCCGTACCTGTCATCCGCAGCATCCAGAGCTTCGAAGCTGAATTAACGACTTTCTTTCGCAGTGTTCGTACGATGTACCTGTTTAATGGAGCTGACTCTTTTTATGACCGTTCAGGGTACAAGTTACCCAAACGAACCAACTGGAATCCGCCGCCAGCCTCTTTGGAAATCGAGACGGCTTTGGCCATTTTTAAGGATGCAGCTATAAAAAAAGTCGTTGAACAGGACTTTTCGTCACTCACCCGGAAATCGACAAATGTCATATCTACGCTTCGTCGTCTCGCAAGGAATCCAGATCTCATTTTTAAATCGGCAGACAAGAACCTCGGTCTGACCGTTATGAGCAGGGAGCTTTATCAAGCTAAATGCTTCGAACTCCTACATAACGGCCAAGTCTACAAGGAGTTATCTTATGTCCCAATTGAAAATATTCTTAGAGATCTACATGGAATTCGCGAGGATTTTCACCCGCTTCCACCAGCCAGAATCTGGGATTCTTTCTTCACGAAGACGACTAATGGATGGAAGGTTCCTGCCTTCTACGTGCTCTTGAAGATTCATAAAAAAGTCCCTGCTGGCGGGCCGATCGCAGCCTCGCACTCCTGGATCACCACTAACGTCTCTCGTTGGCTTTACTCAGTCCTCAGGCCTATTGTTCTGAAGTAGTCTACATATGTTAAAGACTCCCAGATTCTTATTCTTCAACTGGAGCAGCGTGGTTTTTCCAAAAAAACTTCTCCTAGCATCGTATGACGTGGAATCACTCTACCCTTCAATTCCACCCTGGGATGGCATTGATGCAGTCGCTTACTTTCTTAATAAAGAACGACATCCTTTGGCTCCACTCATTATTCGTCTACTTCACTGGGTTATGTTCAACAGCCATGTCTCGTTTAACTGCCGGTTTTTCCGACAAATTTAAGGAACGGCCATGGGGACGTCCGTTGCAATTTGTTTCGCAGTCCTGTTCCTGAGCTTTCTGGACCTTCAACTGCACGCTTCGCTCAAATTCCCTCCCGCTCTTCACCTTCGTTTCATTGATGATGGTTGATTTTGTGGGAAGGAACGAGGGAGGAATTCAACTGCATGAAGCAACGTTTCGACACCCTTCATCCTTCAATCCGGCTGACCTGGGTGATTTCAGAAACTTCTATGGATTTTCTGGATCTTACGGTGTTTAAGGGAAACAGGTTTTAAGATTCTGGCATTTTGGACATGAAGCTGTTTCAGAAACCGATGAATCGGTACCTTTACCTTCCGTTTAAGTCCTATCATACTCGGTCTACGAAGCTGGGTTTTATCCGGAGTGAGCTGCAAAGGTTTCTTTTGCGCTCCTCTTCACGAGCTGAATTCTTCAATTCCCGTGCACTTTTCTTTGCTCGTCTTAGAGCGCGTGGGTACCCGGAAAAGTTTCTACTGCCGGTGTTTAAGTCGGTTTCGTTTGCTAACCGTGGGGAACTTCTTCGACGCGCCTCTTCATTTCAATCTTCTGCGAACCGTGGCCCCGTGATGCTGAAACTTCTTCTCAACCCTCTGGTTGACCGTTCGCGCTTGGGGAACATTTTGAGTCGACTCAAAAGTCATCTCGTTACAATGTCACACGGAACTTTCGCTTCAAGAAGAACCATTCTCGCTTGGATGCGGCCGAAGAGAGCTGGAAATTTTCTTATTTCTGCTCATAAGTGTTAGACTACAGTATATTTGTACTGTTTGTTTATCTCTCTTTCCCTTGCCATCGTCGAGACCCCGCAGAGGAATGCCTCGCGAGGAGTCCTCGAGGTGGTATTTATAGGCTAGCCAGTTTGCTTATTTCTTTGTGGTCTGAAGAAGGCTCTCGAGCCGAAACCAGTTACCATCAAATTTTTCACTAAGGTTTTTTAAGCAAGCTCTACGTTCGTTGTACTTGAGCGTTTCTAAACTGCCACGTAAAGACCTATGGCACCTAAGTGGTGTTCAAACGGGCAGAAACTGAGTGAATCTGAGGAGAGTGAGGGAGTGAGGGGAGGCTGGAAGGCAAGTGAGAGGAGAATGAGAGAGAAGGTGTTTATATCTGAGCCTTTGGGTTCCCCCTCCGAATATCTTCCTTATCCCTCCCCAATCCCCCCCACACCCCCCACCAGCTACAGCATGGGCAGCGAGTGGCACTGTACTTTGGCACAGAGTCTTCTCACTACTCTGAGAAGTCTCCCTCATCCCCCATCCCCTCCCATTTCCCCCCACCCCCCACATCCAAACACACCCTACTGCATGCTTTTGCCTCCGAGTCTTACTGTGCCCACCCACACTTCGTCTCCCCCCCCCTCGACCCCCCTCCCCCACACATCCCCCCACCAGCTACAGCATGGGCATCCAGCTGCGAGTTGCACAGTACTATCCTCAGCTCAGCTCAGCTCAGCTCAGCTCACCCACCCTTCCTCTTCCCCCCCTCTCTTTCCCCGTCCCCCGTCCCCCAACCCCCCCCCCCACCAGCTACAGCATGGGCATCCGGCAGCAAGTGGCGCTGTACTTTGCCTCAGGGACTTCTCAGTGCCCACCCCCCCATCTCCCCCCTTCCATTCCCCCCCCCCCCCCCCCCGATTTCGCCCCTCCCCCCACATCCCCACGCGCCCTTTGCAGCTACAGCATGGGCATCCGGCAGCGAGTGGCGCTGTACTTTGCGTCGGAGCCCAACAGGCACGGGCAGGTGGGGCTGCTGGCACAGCCCGATGTGGTGGTGCAGCCTGGACCCATCTACGACTATGCGGTGCAGGTGGGTGGTATGTGGTGGAAGTGGGTGGGAATGGCTCAGATGGCAGTCCAGTGTGGTGTTGTGTGTGTTGGTCTCGTGGGGCTGCTGGCACAGCCGGATGTGGTGCTGCAGCCCGGACCCAAATTTGACAATGCGGTGCAGCCGGATGTGGTGCAGTCCAGGTGCGGCGAGTGCAGGGAGTTATCAGGGTGTTGCATGCTGCAACAGGCACGGTCACATGGGGCTGCTGGCACAGCCGGATGTGCTGCTGCAGCCCGGACCCATCTTAGACTATGGGGTGCAAGTGAGGGGCAGAGTTTGCCAAGGGAGAATGAGCAGGACGGATGGGTGATTGATCTGTCAGCCATCCCTGTTTGCCGTCATACCACTGTTCTCAGTTCAGTTCAGCTCCATTACTGTATCCAGCCTTCGTGTGTAATGAGTCGATTTTTGAGTTGACTCAAAAATCAGTTGAGTCATACCACTGTTCTCAGTGCAGTTTCATTACTGTATCCAGCCTTCTCCACCCCTTTCACTCTATTCTCGCCCCTTCTCCACCCCTTTCACTCTATTCTCGCCCCTTCTCCACGCCTTTCACTCTATTCTCGCCCCTTCTCCACCCCTTTCACTCTATTCTCGCCCCTTCTCCACCCCTTTCACTCTATTCTCGCCCCTTCTCCACGCCTTTCACTCTATTCTCGCCCCTTCTCCACCCCTTTCACTCTATTCTCGCCCCTTCTCCACCCCTTTCACTCTATTCTCGCCCCTTCTCCACCCCTTTCACTCTATTCTCGCCCCTTCTCCACCCCTTTCACTCTATTCTCGCCCCTTCTCCACCCCTTTCACTCTATTCTCGCCCCTTCTCCACCCCTTTCACTCTATTCTCGCCCCTTCTCCACGCCTTTCACTCTATTCTCGCCCCTTCTCCACCCCCTACTCGCCCTCCATTCCCATGCTGCCCACTCTCCCTCACGTCATCTTCTCTCCCCCACCCCACTCCCCCCTCCCGCCCATCCCTCCCGCCCCCCCCCCAAGCGCAGCTGTCGCAGTCTCGCTTCTGCGGGGTGCTCCCAGGCGATGGCTTCAGTGCGCGCATGGAGGACAGCCTGCTGCACGGCTGCATCCCCGTCATCGTCCAGGTGCATGGCTGGCTGCATCCTCGCTGTTGTCCAGGTGCGTGGCTGGCTGCATCCTCGCTGTTGTCCAGGTGCGTGGCTGGCTGCATCCTCGCTGTTGTCCAGGTGCATGGCTGGCTGCATCCTCGTTGTCCAGGTGCGTGGCTGCATCCCCTGGTCCAGCTCTGCACGTCTTCTGCATTTCATTCGCGCGAGTGAAAGAATAACCAGTCCCACAGCTCAAATCAGCTCTTCTGGTGAAAGAATGCGCCAATCAGCTCTTCTGCGCCTATCAGCTCTTCTGCGTCCGGGTTCAGAATAACCAGTCCCACATCCCTTCCTTCCTCCTAATGCCATGGCATGGGTCTCGCATGGGTATGGCATGGGTATTGCATGGCATGGCACGCAGGACGGCATAGAGCTGCCATTTGAGAATTTCCTCGACTACCCGTCGTTCACAGTGCGCGTGGCAGAGGCCCACATCCCCAACCTCGTCACCATTCTCCAGTCCTTCACAGACGACCAAGTGCGTGCAATGCAGCGGGCGGCGAGCCGTGTCTGGATGCGGTGGTTCTACCGGGCAGCCGTGCTGCTAGAGGCGGGGCGGCAGAGAGCCCAGGGGAAGGAGGTCGGGGAGTGGGTGGCGGATTTGGAAGGCATGGAGGGGGATGATGCAGTGGATACACTGATGCAGGTAAGGACGAGAGAGCAATTTGCTTGGCTTATATGAGTTCTCACCCTTTCTTCCTACTGGTGTGTGCAGATATTGCATATGAAGATGTTTAGAGACGCATGGAGGCGACAAGAAGGCCCAATTATGTGTTCAAGAGAAGGAAAAGTACCGTCAAACATAGTGGCTATGTCAAAGTGAATATTGGTTTGGAATATGAATTTTTACAATTGTGAAGACAATTACGGTATCTGTGTAGAAAATAATAACGCGTCTACTTTGGCGAACTTTCTCTGGTAATCCCTCTGTCCCAGTGCTGCAGCCGACTCCTCGTCATAATCTCCCCTTCAAGGCGAACTGACTGACCAGTGGGTTATCATTGAGAGAACCGTACGGCGCGCCGAGCCGCACGGATGTCTTACCGACATCGTGCCGTGACGTTATCAGGAGAGCCGTAGGGCCTTGCCTGTGCCGCTTGCGCTGACCGCACGATCTTGCTCTGTTCTCCCGGGCCCTCAGATATCGCAACCCGTTGACATAGCGACTATGCCGACATTAGTGGGGAGCAGTGCTCTTGCTGCGAAGTCGACACCTCACCTCTTGCCACGTGGCCATGCGCCTACGTGTCATCGGCCACGTGTCCCCTTATCCTCGTCGTTCACCACTCGTCTCTCCCCGCATTTTAGCGGCTCCCGACCCTCCCTTCTCCGGTTTTCACGGCCGTTAGGGTCCCCTTGCCGGGCCGCTCAATCCGGCGGAAAAAGCGCCGGCGATCGCGGAGAAGCACCGGCAGACGCCAATAATAATGCGAGCTCAGGAGCTGGAGCGAACTTCTTAAAAGCGAAATCTCTGGATGGGGTGGTGGAGGAGATTAAGGAGGAGTTTAGAACGGATGTCCGAGACGCGCAGGTTATGTTCGCAGCGATCCGGGCGGCTGTGATCGGGGCAGTTGATAATATTTTCGGGTCTGCCCGGGAGCAGGCAGCGGCAGTAAAGCGGCGCGGCCTTCCAAGGCTGCTGGCAGCGAAGCGATGGCACCACGTGGACCAATGGAAGGTGGGTGGTGACGTGGCAAGGACGGATTTAAGAGAAGCACAAAGCAACGGGGCTAGTAGGCTGGGCGTGGCGGGGCATCAGGCGACAGGAATGTAGGCAGCGGGGAGTCAGGGTTCTGGGTTTTCCCGTTGCACTCACGCCCGTTCAAAAAATATAATATCGCCCCATGCTTCCCGCCTCCATGAGCCGTTTCCTCAATCTCCCCTCCACCTCCAAGACTCCCCCACTCTTCTCCCCCCCTCTCCCTGTCCCATTCCCCTCTCTCCCCTGTCCCCCCCCCCCTTCACTCTCCCTGTCCCCCTCTCCCCCGTGCGCACCAAATATCTTACAGAGCCCCCAATCCTGGCCGGTGCTGCGGTGGGTTGTAGCAGCGCTGTACCTTGGTGCTACAGCTGCCGTCTGGGCCTCCTGATAACATTCCCCTCACCCCTCCCCCAAACAGGACCCTCGGTCCTGGGATGCACTCAGGTGGGTTGTAGCGGCGCTCTACCTCGCTGCTACAGTCGCCTTCTGCCGGTCGGCAGGTCGCTCTGTAGCTGGCAGTCTGGCGAGCCGGCCGGCGACTGTGGAGCAGTTCTTGGAGCACGCCATCCCAGAACCCACCCCGGAGAACATCCGCCTGTGAGTGCCCAAGGGGGGGGGGTAGGGGGAGGGATAGGCGCAAGGAGATGTGGAGCAGTTCTTGGGCCACACCATCTCCGGACCCTCACCAGAAAGCATCCGTCTGTGAGTGCCAAAGGAGCGGGAGCGGGGGGGATAGGGGGGAATGGGTGCAAGAAGCTGATCTTCCATCCCGGAACCCACCCCTGAGGAACATCCGCCTGTGAGTGAGTGCCTGGGGGGAGAAGGGGGGGAGGGAGGGGGGCACGGGGGCTGGGGGATGGGTGGGAGAAGATATGGAGCAGTTCTTGGAGTATGCCATCCCAGAACCCAACCCCTCTCATTCCCATCCCATCAACCCCACAGTCTCCATTTCTCCCGCATTCTTCAGGGTGGGGGAGCAGTGGAAGATGGAGCGGGAGGGATAGAGTGTGTGAAGGTTTTCTTTCCTCTCTTCTAATAACTCCCCTCCCCCCCCCATCCCCCACACACCGCTCTGCCTTTCTTGCTGATTCTCAGGGTGCACGAGCGGAGGTGGGTGCGTTTTCTTTCTTATCAGAATCATCCCCCTTCCCCCCTTCCCCCTTCCCCCTTCCCCCCCTCCCCGCCGCTCTGTTTTCCTTGCTGAATTTCACGGTGAGGGAGCAGCGGTGGCGGGCGCAGGCTCCCCCCGGGCTGTCAGTGGTGAGGTGGAAGATGGACCGGGAGGGGCGGTGGGTGCCCTTTCTCTCTCTCCTCTCAAAACATCCCCGCCTACCCTTTCCCCCCCTCCCCCCCCACTCTTTTTCGCTAATCTGCAGGGTGAGGGAGCAGCGGTGGCGGGCACAGGCTCCCCCAGGGCTGTCGGTGGTGAAGTGGAAGATGGACCAGGAGGGGCGGTGGGTGAAGGACCCCTCGTTCGTGGGCGAGACGGCATGGCAGGATAAGAACCTCCTGGAAGGGTCAACAGGGTCAACGGCCACTGGGCTGCTGCCACCTGGCAGTGGCACCACCAGCACCAGCACCGGCAGCAGCAGCAGCAGCAGCAGTTGGAGGGATCGGTTGCAGCGGTGGGAGGAGGCAGTGGTGGAGGGCGACATCAAGGACCTCATTGAGGAGCCCGGCAGCCGGTGAGAAGCACAAGGGCGCCATGTGATGGGGATGGGGTGGATTGAATCACTGAAGCCTTGTGTTGCACGACGATGATGGGGTGATGGTATGGTGCACATAGCGCCATGGGGCGGTGGTGGAGGGGGGACATAAAGGATCGGATTGACGAGCCTGTTAGCCGGTAAGGGCCACTGCATGAGACGATTGATTGATTGAGCCCATCAGATGTATTAAGGGGCAGTGGGATGGGATGGGAGGCATTGCATTGCATGCATTGCATTGTATTGCATTGCATTGCATTGCATTGTATTGCATTGCATTGCATTGCATTGCTCTCTACCAGCCTCACGAGTATGTGCACATGACATGAGAAGTGAGATGGGAGGGTGGGATCTGATTCAGTCCCAACGCAGCAGGAGAATTTTTGACGAAGCTCCTCAAGACCCCCTCTCCCCTCTGCCACTCTCTCCTCCTCAACCCACCCCCTCCTCCGCCAGCTACGATTATGTCCACCCATGCCCACTTGCCTACTCCTTCCTCGCTACCCTCCCGCATTCACCAGCTACGAGTACGTGTACGACTGGGATCTGATCCTAGCGCAGCAGCAGGAGGAGATGAGATAAGTTTGGGGCGCCGACCTAAGTCTGCACCTTTTCCCCTATGACTTATCCCTATTCCCCCACCAGGTACGAGTACGTTTACGACTGGGATCTGATCCAGGCGCAGCAGGAGGAGGAGATGGCAAGGCGGGCACGGGGGGAGGGCGAGGAGGAGAGCCCGGCGGTGTGGCTGCAGCGGCGGTGGTGGAAGCACCGGCCCGCCATGCCGTACGTGTGGCTGCTGCGCAAGATACAGACCAACGAGGTGGAGGCAGCAGTCTTTACAGCAGATATGAGGAGACTCTATGTCACGATGAAGGAGGGGTTTCCTGCTGAATACAAGGTGAGGAGTGGTAGGTGAGGAGTGGTAGGTGAGGAGTGGTAGGTGAGGAGTGGTAGGTGAGGAGTGGTAGGTGAGGAGTGGCAGGTGAGGAGTGGCAGGTGAGGAGTGGTAGGTGAGTGGTAGGTGAGGAGTGGCAGGTGAGGAGTGGTAGGTGAGGAGTGGTAGGTGAGGAGTGGTAGGTGAGGAGTGGTAGGTGAGGAGTGGTAGGTGAGGAGTGGTAGGTGAGGAGTGGTAGGTGAGGAGTGGTAGGTGAGGAGTGGTAGGTGAGGAGTGGTAGGTGAGGAGTGGTAGGTGAGGAGTGGTAGGTGAGGAGTGGTAGGTGAGGAGTGGTAGGTGAGTGAGGAGTGGTAGGTGAGGAGTGGTAGGTGAGGAGTGGCAGGTGAGGAGTGGCAGGTGAGGAGTGGTAGGTGAGGAGTGGTAGGTGAGGAGTGGTAGGTGAGGAGTGGTAGGTGAGGAGTGGTAGGTGAGGAGTGGTAGGTGAGGAGTGGTAGGTGAGGGGGTGAGCGCTATGAGGGTGTTAACTGCTCGGGTAGACACAAGGACCATGTTAGTCTGAATGACCCTAATTTCCTTCTCCCTCAACCTTAAACCCTGACCCTATCTGGTGGACATCTCCTTTGACCCCTTCCTCTATTCGTCTCCTCTGGTCAAGGGGGTCACGGTCGACCTGCTGCCTCCTTGTGAGCGGCCTCGGTCTCCAGGCGTGGCTCAAGCCCCTTAACCAGCCAGACTCCTCCTGACCCCTGAACCCTGATGTGTGCACGCTGGCTGCACCCTAAACCCATGGTGGCCATCCTCATAGGTCCCTTCCTCTACCCTTCATTGCTCATCAAGGGGGTCACGTGGATTGTAGGCCCTTCATTGCTCCCTCGCTCGTGCCTCTTCTTCCTGCGAGGTGGATTGTAGGCCTGAGTCTTTTATTCCTAAACGCCACACCCCTAAACTGTGACCCTATCAGGTGGATATCCCAATCGACCCCTTCCTCTACCCCTCACTGCTGGTGAAGGGAGTGACGGTCGACCTGCTGCCTCGCTCACGCCTTTTCTTCCTAAGGGGGGTGGCGGCGCTGCTGCCGTCGCTGGTGCTGCTGGGCGGCATAGGGGCGGCACAGACGGCGTTCAAGAACCGCGTGGATGAGAAGATCCACGACTACGTCTACATGGACCGGTCGCAGCTGCTGCTGGTAGGCTGGGTTGGGTGGTGCCTGGGGCAGGTGATACGTGTTGTACACCCAAAAGGGGCAGGTGAATGAGGAGATTCAGGACTACGTCTACATGGACCGGTCGCAGCTGCTGCTGGTGAGTTGCACACCTGGGTGATGCCTGGGGCAGGTGGTATCTGCAGCACAGAAGGCGTTCAAGAACCGCATGGATGAGAAGATCCATGACTACGTCTACATGGATAGATCGCAGCTGCTGCTGGCAGGTACCATCTGGACAGGTCGCAGCTGCTGCTCCAAAGGGGAATAGTGGCAATACGACTATGGGGTGGCATAGGGGTGGCACAGGCGGCGTTCAAAGGGCGGGTTGATGAAAAATATACATTCCGCCTAAATGGTCATATCACTGCCTATATGGTCATATCACTGCTGCTGCTACTGTGTGTAGCCTTTTCTAATTCAGCCACATGCTTTCCTTTGAATTCTCTCTCCTTCCTGCCTGTATTCTCTCCTGGGGACGTGCACCGTTGTATTTTGAGTCGACTCAAAATACTCCCCGGGACGTGCACCGGGAGCAGTAGCGCAGCACATGAGATGGCGTGGTGATGTTTCAATCGACACAAAATACAACTCAGAGCACCTTCGATTCTGTCCCTCCCTCCCCTCCCTCCCCTCCCTCCCCTCCCTTCCCCTCCGTTCTGAAGCCCGAGGACGTGCACAAGGAGGGCAGGCGCAGTGCATACGACGACGTGGTGATGGCGGACGACATCTGGGAGGTGCTGGAGGAGGTGATGACGTACATGCGCGACCCCATGCGCTACCACTCGCAGGGCATCAAGCTGCCCAGGGTTCGTCACCTTGTGGGGCATGGGTATGGGGAGGTGCCATCTGGGAGGTGCCATCTGGGAGGTGCCATCTGGGAGGTGCCATTTGGGAGGTGCCATCTGGGAGGTGCCATCTGGGAGGTGCTGACGTACATGCGGGGCCCCATGCGCTACCACTCGCTGGGCATCAAGCTGCCCAGAGTGAGTGCTCAAGGTCGAACATAACTTCTCCACCTGGTGATTACCTGTTGACTTCAATGCTGCCCAAAGTGACCGCCACCCCCTCCCAAACCACCCACCGGTTCCAAATTCCTGTTAACCTCCCCACCCCCTCCGCATCCTCCCTCCCCATCCTCCCCTCTCCAACCTCCGCCTCTCCTGTCACGCATTCCCACTTGATCTCCCCCCCAGGGCATCCTTATCAGTGGGCCTCCTGGCACCGGCAAGACCCTTTTGGCTCGCTCCATCGCGCGAGAGTGTGGGCTGCCATTTGTCTTCACGTCCGGGGCGGAGTTTGTTGACTCGACGTCAGAGTCGGGGCTGGATAAGGTGTTCAACATCTTCTTCACGGCGCGAGCTAACGTGAGTGGGGGGAGATGGGCGAGTTAGAGCTGCCTTTGTGCCTTTGTGTTGACGTATAGAGCTGAGTTCGTAGACTCGACGTCGGAGTCGGGGCTGGATAAGGTGCTCAACATCTTCTTCACGGCGCGGGCCAATGTGAGTAAAGAGAGGGAGGGAAGGGAAAGGGGAAGCGGAAGGGGAAGGGGAAGGGGGGAGGGGGAGCGAGAGTGGGGGGAGGGGAAAAGCCATTGTCCTTGGTGTCAAGCTCTCTACTGGTATGTGTCTGCTCCCTCTCGTGTATGTGCCACACCCCACCCCTTGTGCCCCCCTCCCCCCTCCTACCAACCCCCCAGGCGCCGTCGTTTCTCGAGATCGACGCACTGGCAGGCAAGAGCGTGCTCAAGGACCCGGAGAGGCGCCTTGAGATGTGGCGGGGCACACTTACATACATCCCCTCGTCCCCCCTCGTTCATCCTCCCAGGCGCCGTCGTTCCTGTTTGTGGACGAGATTGATGCGCTGGCCGGCAAGAGCGTGCTCAAGGACCCCGAGAGGCGCGACGTGTACGAAGAGTTCCTGGCGGAGCTGGACGGCGAGTGAGTGGGGGGGGAGGGGGGGGGATTCAGTGTGCGGATTGGGATGTAAGGTGATGGGAATGAGCGAATTGCAGCCAAAGGAGGGTTAAGGACCCTGAGAGGCATGACGTGTACGAGGAGTTCCTGGCGGAGCTGGACGGCGAGTGAGTGGGGGGGAGGGGGGGGGATTCAGTGTGCGGATTGGGATGTAAGGTGATGGGAATGAGCGAATTGCAGCCAAAGGAGGGTTAAGGACCCTGAGAGGCATGACGTGTACGAGGAGTTCCTGGCGGAGCTGGACGGCGAGTGAGTGGTGGTGGGGGGAGTGAGTGAGTAGGGAAAGTGGGGAGGGAGTGAGGAGGGTGGGGAGGGAGTGAGGAGGGTGGGGAGGGAGTGAGGGGGGTGGGGAGGGAGTGAGGAGGGTGGGGAGGGAGTGAGGAGGGTGGGGAGGGAGTGAGGGGGGTGGGGAGGGAGTGAGGAGGGTGGGGAGGGAGTGAGGAGGGTGGGGAGGGAGTGAGGAGGGTGGGGAGGGAGTGAGGAGGGTGGGGAGGGAGTGAGGGGGGTGGGGAGGGAGTGAGGAGGGTGGGGAGGGAGTGAGGGGGGTGGGGAGGGAGTGAGGAAGGTGGGGAGGGAGTGAGGAGGGTGGGGAGGGAGTGAGGAGGGTGGGGAGGGAGTGAGGAGGGTGGGGAGGGAGTGAGGGGGTGGGGAGGGAGTGAGGAGGGTGGGGAGGGAGTCAGGGGGGTGGGGAGGGAGTGAGGAGGGTGGGGAGGGAGTGAGGAGGGTGGGGAGGGAGTGAGGAGGGTGGGGAGGGAGTGAGGAGGGTGGGGAGGGAGTGAGGGGGGTGGGGAGGGAGTGAGGAGGGTGGGGAGGGAGTGAGGGGGTGGGGAGGGAGTGAGGAGGGTGGGGAGGGAGTGAGGAGGGTGGGGAGGGAGTGAGGAGGGTGGGGAGGGAGTGAGGAGGGTGGGGAGGGAGTGAGGAGGGTGGGGGGGAGTGAGGGGGGGGGGGAGGGAGTGAGGAGGGTGGGGAGGGAGTGAGGAGGGTGGGGAGGGAGTGAGGAGGGTGGGGAGGGAGTGAGGAGGGTGGGGAGGGAGTGAGGAGGGTGGGGAGGGAGTGAGGGGGGTGGGGAGGGAGTGAGGAGGGTGGGGAGGGAGTGAGGGGGGTGGGGAGGGAGTGAGGAGGGTGGGGAGGGAGTGAGGAGGGTGGGGAGGGAGTGAGGAGGGTGGGGAGGGAGTGAGGAGGGTGGGGAGGGAGTGAGGAGGGTGGGGAGGGAGTGAGGAGGGTGGGGAGGGAGTGAGGGGGGTGGGGAGGGAGTGAGGAGGGTGGGGAGGGAGTGAGGAGGGTGGGGAGGGAGTGAGGAGGGTGGGGAGGGAGTGAGGGGGGTGGGGAGGGAGTGAGGGGGATGGGTGGGTGAGTGAATGAAAGGGGGTCCATTGAGAACGATGCCTGCATCCCTTCGCTCTCTTCGCTCCCCAGCCTTGGTCCCCTTCCACATCCACCGACCAATCAGGGTGGAGCACACGGACGTGGACCGCTTCTCTCTGCGCCAGGCAGTCATTCTGATCGCGGCCACCAACCGCCCCGACGAGGTGGACGAGGGGCTCACCAAAGCACCGCATGTGTGGGACTCACACACCTCCCTCTCTCCTCACTGACCCTCCCTCCCCTCCCCCCCCCAGGGTGGAGCACACGGACATGGACCGCTTCTCGCTGCGCCAGGGCGCCTCACGCACACACCTCCTTCCCCTCCCCTCGCTCCACGCACCCCCTCCCCCCTCCCAGGGTGGAGCACACGGACGTGGACCGCTTCTCGCTGCGCCAGGCCGTCATCCTCATCGCAGCCACCAACCGACCAGACGAGCTGGACGAGGGCCTCACCAAAGCGGGGCGCATCGACCGCGAGATCCACGTGGGGCTGCCGAGCGAGGAGCAGCGCATCGCCATCTTCGGGGTTCACTCCAGAAACAGACTGCTCGCGCCTTCCGTGGACTTCTCCAAGGTGAGCTGTCTGCCGGGGAGAAAGAGCAAGGCACATGATCCACGTGGGGCTGCCCAACGAGGAGCAGCGCATCGCCATCTTTGGCGTGCACTCCAGAAACAGACTGCTCGCGCCATCTGTTGACTTCTCCAAGGTGTGTAAGAAAATTTGCACGAAGGCCTCTCAGGAGCAGTTACCCGCAGCCTGGTGAATGACACCGGGGTCATGGCGGTGCGGCCCTTATCACCTCGCTTGGTCCTCCCAACCCTCCAACTCACCCTACCCCTCTCCTCACCCATACCAACAGAAGATATCCGCAAGTGATTGAGGCGGGCATCGTGGCGGTGCCGTGCGGCCATGCGGTGATCGAGCAGGCACTAACCCTCCTCCCGCCCGCCCCCACCATCCCATCCCATCCCATCCGCAGGTGGCCTTCCGCACCATCGGCTTCTCAGGAGCGGACATCCGCAACCTGGTGAACGAGGCGAGCATCATGGCGGTGCGGCGCGGCCATGCGGTGATCGAGCAGGGCGATGTGGTGGCGGCGCTGGACAAGCAGCTCTTCGAGAGCCTCGGGATCTCCATGACAGACGACGAGCAGCAGCGGCTCTTCGCCAAGGTGAGGGGGTGTTACAACTTAGAATGTGTCCTGTTAATAGGCCCTCCCCTCCCCTCCACTACCATCCCCTCCCCTCCCCTCCCCTTCCCTACCCTCCCCTACCCTCCCTTCCCCTCCCATCCTACCCCCATCGCAACCCATCCCATGGCACCCCATCCCATGGCACCCCATCCCATGGCACCCCATCCCATGGCACCCCATCCCATGGCATCCCCTCCCATTCCCGTCCACCCTTCCGTGCCATGGGCCGTGTGCAGGTCCCAGCGGAGGTGCGGCGAGTGCTGGCGGTGCACGAGGCGGGGCACATCCTGCTGTCGCACCTCTTCCCCGCCTTCGACTGGCACGCCTTCACCCACATCCTCCCGGGCGGCCAGGTGAGCTGTCAGGTGCTCAGGTGGAATCTCAGGTGGAATCACACGTGAGCTGGTGGTATCTCAGGTGGAATCACACGTGTGCTGGTGGTATCTCAGGTGGTCAGGTGCAATTTCTGCCTCTCTGGTATGCTCTCACGTCTTGAGTTAGGAAAGGCCACTACAGGTTCATTCACAGCTCAGTGTTTTTGAGAATTCTCAGAAGCACGTGCGGATGGTGTTGCGTCTGCTGCAATGGATCTCCTCTTGTTGCTCTCTCCCTCCCACCCATTGTTTTCACGTCAGGAGCGGAGGCACTGTCAGTGTTCTACCCATGGCAGGACATGCTGCTCACGGGCAGCATGAGCATCGGGTATCTGCTCATGCAGATGGTGGTACCTCTGTATCAAGGCTTCCCCTCTCTTCCTCCCCCCCCCCCCCCCCACCCTTGTTCCCAGGAGCGGGCACTATCGGTGTTCTACCCGCGGCAGGAGATGCTGCTCAAGGGCAGCACAAGCATCGGCTACCTGCACATGCAGATGGTGGTGGCGCATGGCGGCATGTGCGCTGAGCGCCTTGTCTTTGGCGACGACCATGTGACGGACAACGGGCAGGACGACCTGATGAAGCTCTCAAGGGTCAGTCAGAGCACGACAGCCTTTGGAGATGACAGGCTATTAGAATACGACAGGCTATCCAGGGGATGATGACCATGTGACGGACAACGGGCAGGACGACCTGGTGAAGCTCTCAAGGGTCAGTCAGAGCACGACAGCCTTTGGTTGGAGTTAGTCTGTTTGTCGGTGGGGCTAGCCCGGTTTTTTCAGTCAGAAGGCAGCGGCCATGTCGCGGACAACGGGCAGGACGACCTGATGATGAAGCTCTCAAGGGTGAGATATGTATTGTCCCTTAAGTTAGGCCCTCCGCATGCAGAGGGTGGTGCTCCCGCGCATCCCCATGTGCGCTGAGCGCCTCGTGTTCGGCGACGACCATGTGACGGACAACGGGCAGGACGACCCCATGCAGCGCTCAAGGGTCAGTCAAAATACTACAGGATTATTGTCCGCCTTGCTGGCTGTTTTTCTCCCTCCCACGCTCCATTTTTCCTCTCTCGATCCCGCCCAACCCTCCACACCCCTCCTTGTCATCTTGCCTTTCTACCACTGTTCTCGACTGATCATATTCCCATCTTCCCCATGTGCACCAGATAGCGCGGGAGATCGCGAGCAGCCATGCAAACCCACGTTTCGGCCTCATGCCCATCACCATGCACCCCATCATGGAGCCACCGGGCTTCCCTGACGAAGTGGAGCTCATCCCATCCTCCGTATGTTATTTTACACTGTGCTGATACGTGTGTTGGATTTCCTTGAGCCGCATGCCCATCACCGTGCACCCCATCATGGAGGAACATACCATCGCCCTCAAAGTTGAACTGCTGCTTGTCGGTGCTCGTCATTCCAACTGTTGCTTGCAGCCTCTTCCATCCCTGCTACACTGCTTTGCCCCACGAGGACGTGACCGGCCCATGAGACGAGTCAAATATGTCTTCCTGTCGCCCCATGTTCTGTTCTGCCTCCCCCTTTCATCCTACTGCCTCCCCATGAGTCGAGTCAAATATGCCTTCCCCTTGTTCTGTTCTGCTCTGTTATGCCTCCCCCTTTCATCCCACCGCCAGTGGTCTCGCCCCGGCACGCAAGTGGCAGCAATGTCGGTGGAAATGTCTGACATCTTCACACGGGAGGTCACGTGGGTGAGTGGCATAGCGTAGGGTGTTTGGGCATCTTGCTCTACGTGTCTCCAACCAATCTGACGTGACCTGGCTACTTATGATTTGGTTCTACACTTCTTGAAATGGCAATAAAAATAAACCCCAAACCCCACCAATCCTCCCAATCCGCCCAATCCGCCCAATTCCCCTCCATCCCCCCCCAGAACATTGAGCTTACGGAGCGCATGGCCATGGATGCGTTGACGCGCAACAGAGCCATCCTGGAAAAACTCGCCGACCACCTCGTGGAGCACTTCCGCATCTCCGGCCTGGTGGGTGTGGGCTGGGGCCTGGTGGGTTAGGGCCTGGTAGGGTGGGGTGGGGCCTGGTGGGTTACTGTTTGCACCCCCTGAGATGGCCTCTCATAAACTCGCCAACCGCCTCGTGGAGCACTTCCGCATCTCCGGCCTGGTGGGTGTGGGTGTGGGTGTGGGTGAGGATGTGGGCTGGGGCCTGGTGGGTTAGGGCCTGGTGGGTTGTTGTTTGCACCCATGGAGCTGGTCCTTGGGGCAGCTCACAGACTCATTACTCACGGTGCACCTCGTGGAGCACATGGCCATCTCCGGCCCAGTGGGTGTGAGGCCAGTTGGTTATGGATGGACCCGTGGGGTGCTTATTGCGTTGTGCTTTCCGCGTTGGGCTTATTGCATTGCATTGGGCTAGGCCTGTTACATCACTACTTGCATCTTTTCTGAGTCGCCTTAATGTGTGGGTGGCGGGCGGCATGCGAGGCATTTGGAATACACCTCCGACTCCTCTCTGCCCCTTTTCCGCTCCGCTCTGCAAAACTTACTCTACGAAATGAACTGGAGGCCGGGGTGATAGTGCAGTCCATGCACCCGCACATGCTGCCAGACCACTGGAACCCAAGGCACTGTTCTAACTCGCCCTAATCCAACTCCCCCAACCCCCCCTGTACCCATTGTGCATGAGCAGGAGGCGGGGGAGATAGTGCACTCCATGCACCCGCACATGCTGCCAGACCTTCTGGAGCCAGAGACAGAGGAGTCACAGGAGGACTCGGCAACACCTCCCGCATGGGATCCAGAGCAGCCGGGTCGATACCAGTACCTTGACATCTACCCCGCTCCCCTGCACCGGTGCTGATACACGCTATGAGACGCGCCGAAACAGTAGATTCACATCTACTCAGCTACACTCTCAACATATCTACACCCCAGGTGGTCCCTTATACACACTTCTACATCCCCGCTTACCAGTACCTTGACATCTACCCTACTCCTCTGCTCAAGTGCTGGTACACGCTTGGAGGTTTGCTTCAAGATTGCCCAAAAACAGTGCCCTGGCATCCACCCTGCTTTCCTGCACAGATGCAGAGGTGTGCGTTCGACGTAGGATATCACCCCTTTTTCGCACTGCGCGCTGCACTTACAGTCGTTTTCTCCACAACATTGCCTTGATACCTGGTAGACTCAGCTGTCCAGCCGTCGTGTCTGCATGCAATCTGTTGTAAGCATGCTCCGGGAAAACTGCCCGCTTGCGCAGCATGTGAGTGAGGTGCTGAAGGAGGGCGATTTCTTGATTGTGCCTCCAGCACGGCAAGAGAGTCACTGAGGAGTCTATTTTTTAGGCACCTCAAAAATAGACTCCTCACGGCGATTTCTTGATTTTGCATCCAGCACGGAGAGTCACTGAATGACACTTGGTGAATAACATACCAACAGGTAAGCGGCTGGTGTCAGTAATGCAGGGTGCTTCTTTCACCACGGCAGGGCATGTCAAAGAAGTTGAGTCATCACACAACTTAACTACTGTCATGCATCTACCTACTGTTGCTTTCACTGGTCCTCCTTAGGCTTCTCTTCTGAGTCCTGTAGCACAAGCGAACGCCGAAAAAACACCAAGAAATGCGCATTGCCGAAATTATAACACAAGACAGGGCATGAGAGCACAGAAAGCCTGGATATAAGTGAAGGGTGAGGAGTGAAGCGCGATTGGCGAAAGCAGGACGGCCGCTCAAAATTTCTCGGCAATTCACGAACCATACGATGTCTGCACAGACAAGTCACCGCAGCATGCGTACCTTGGGAGGCTGAGAGGGAGCGAGTGATGCCAGCACGTCCCGCACAGAGGGGTCGTTTGGGTCCACTCCTGGCAGCTGCAGAGGGAGCAGAGGGAGCAGAGAGAGCAGAGGGAGCAGAGGGAGCAGAGAGAGCAGAGGGAGCAGAGGGAGCAGAGGGAGCAGAGGGAGCAGAGGGAGCAGAGGGAGCAGAGGGAGCAGAGGGAGCAGAGAGAGAGAGAGCAGAGGGAGATGGGGTCATCAGAGGGCAAAGTTGCAGGCGCTACTGAGCGAATTGACACTGCCAGCACGTCCACTCGTGGCAGCTGCATGGGGGGCTGCAAGGGGGCCTCAGGAAGTGAGTGGCTCCAGCACATCAGGAAGTGAGTGGCTCCAGCACATCCCAGATACATACACTACACGTCTCCTGGGGCTGTCGATGTTGAACAGATGATGACAGGATACAGAGGATAGCATCTAAACATGCTGACAACGACGATACCTTACCAATGCGAGGATGGATTTGCCAACGAAAGCGTCGCCCAGCACTTACCGTATTCCCCCGTAAGGTATTGTCAAAAAATCATTAAAAAAAAAACACAAAAAAAAAAACAAACAAAAAAAAACGAATGGGTGTTAACAGTAGGCTGGAAAAAAAAAGAGCCCATGTCTTATGTAAAATGCAAAATGAATTTGGGTTGTAACAGGCACTGTGAGGCCAGAACTTCACGGAGCAGTTGCTAATGAGGAATCTGCTACAGAGATTGCACACTCTGACAGGGTCAGTTCGGTGCCTCAGAAAATGGCGGGAGATTGATCCAGCAGTGCCAGGTGTTCTTGACCAATCTCTGTTGAGCGCTGTGAACAGAGTCAGTTCCGTGCCTCGGAAAGCGGTCGAGATATTCTCGACCATCGCTGACGTGATCGAGGTGGTTCAACTGCAAGATGGACGGTCGAGACTCGAGATCCTCTCGACACTTGCTGTCTTTCGATTTCGCTTTGCCACTGCCCGTTTTTGCACTGCTAATGGCAGCTGACGCGATTTTCATCCTACTCGCTTTTTGCAGCTGAGCGAACCTTGGTAATGAAGGACCAAATACTGTTTGAAGGCAAGAAAAACCAGCAGGGTGTTATGTACAATGCAAACTCAGAAAAGCGGATACTCTCAAAAATGTACCATATCATAAGCTATCCCCCGCATATGTCACCCATGGAGTGACTATTTCGGCGGGTGTTATATACGGGGGATTACGGTACCTCATATCCAAGACTCCAGGTTTCGTTGGTGGTGGTGGTGCTCCTGCTGCCGGTGCTGCTGCCACTGCTGCTGCAACTGGGATGGGTTGGAGACACATCAATGACAACATGGCAGTGACGTACCGAGGAGAGGATGGAGTTCACAAAGGAAGCGTCGCCCAGCACTTGGCTCATATCCACATCCCCAGGTGCGCCTGCTGCTGCTGCTGCTGCAGCTGGCGCTTCACCTGCCGCCCCTGCTTCGGCTGCTGCTGCTTCTTTCTTTCCCTCCTCCGCTGCCTCCTGCATCGACAGCTGCAGGGCTGGTTCACCCAGGGGCGCAGGGATGGGAAGCCAAGGGGAGAGGGGGAAAATACAAGATAAGAGCGTTTGGCAAGGGCAGAGGAGGAGGGCATATGGGAACGGAGGGCAAGAAGAGGAGGCGGAGAGGCGCGTACAAGAAGAGCATATGGGCAGACGAAAAGGAAACAGGCGCGGGGAAGCAAACAAGCACGAAAAAGCAGCGGACCACTCACCGAGTGCCAGCTCAGCATCCTCCCCTCCAGCAGCAGCATCCAGCATGGCAGCATCTCCAGCCCCTCCCGCTGCTGCTGCTGCCATGGACATGGCCAGGGCTTGCTGCAACAGAGCTGCCTCGTCGTCCTGGTGGTGAGAGGGGGGAGAAAAGGGTGGGTTAGTCTGGCTCCGTACCATCTGCAGCGTCTCCCGCCCCTGCTGCTTCTGCTGCTGCCATGGACATGGCTAGCGCCTGCTGCAACAGTGCTGCCTCGTCGTCCTGGCATGACGAAGGGTGACAGAGTGTAGGAGAAGTGACAGGCAAGGACGGGTTAAGCGAAACCGCAAGGACTTGGCAGTACAGGCAGCAGCAGCAGCAGGCAGAGCTCACCATGGCAACGTCAGCAGCAGCAGCCGCAGCAGTGGCCCGCCCCTCGTCCGCCTTCTTCTCCCCCTCCCCCATCGCCACATCCCCCTTCCCCCCCTCCCCCTCCCCACCACTCCCCCCACCACCCCCAGCACCAGCCTCCTGCTCAGCAGCCTTCCTGGCAGCGGCCTCCTGCCTCGCCCGTTCCTCCTCCATGGATACACGTAGCGCCAGGGCGAGCTCCGGGTCCACACTCGGGTCCACGCCAAAGTCGAAGTCGCCCCCCAGCCCGCCCCCTCCTGCTGCCGCTGCTGCCGCTGCCCCCGCCGCTGCTGCTGCTGCGAAGCCACTGCCGCCCTCCCCGTCCCCTGTGAACACAGGGGAGCTGCGTGTGACAAGGGGGGAGCGGGGGGAGAGAGGGGAGGGCGGGATGGGTGAGAGGGGGGAAATGAGAAGATGCATAGCCCCCACGAGAAGAGCCACAGCATACAAGGGAACACAGCTGCTGACTCTGCTGCTGTTGAAGCAGCTATCAGCAGCAGCGCCCTCAAGTTTAAAAGCACCTTACAAGGCACTAAGAGCTGACAGGGCGTCTCACCTGATGAGCACGTCCGAGAGCACAGCGGGCCCAGGCGGCACGTGCACGAGGTGCGAGTTGTCGTTGCTGTTGACGGCGCCTAGCAGCGCCTCCAGCTTCGCCTGCTTCTGCTCGTCCTCCTCCTCCGACCCGAAGCTCACGATGTCCAGAGCCACGTTGTTCTTCTTCAGCCGCTTGCCCGCCTTCACCAGCGTGTCCGTGTCTGCAGGCACAGGGCTGGGGAGTTGGGGGGGAAGCAGGCGGGAGGGGAGTATGCGTCCGGTTGGTTGGGGAGGAGCGGAGGTAATCCGAAGCTCACTATGTCCGGCGCCACGCTGTTCTTCTTCAGCCGCTTGCCCGCCTTCACCAGCGTGTCCGTGTCTGCAGGCACCGGCGCAGGGCTGGGGGGTGGGGGGGACGTGTAGTGGGGGTCAGGAGGGACAGCAGAGGCGACCCGAAGCGCACTATGCCCAACGCCACAGTGCTCTTATTCAGCCTCTTTCCCGCCTTCACCAGCGCGTCCACATCTGCAGGCGCAGGGCTGGAGGGAGTTGGCGCGGGGTGCGGGCAGATGCAGGGGGAGAGGCACGGTCAGGGGCAGGGGCAGGGGCAGCAGCTCGGTCAGGAGTGTGCAAGTGAGGGTACAGATAAGTGGACACAAGGGCACATACCAGCTTATATCGCACCTGCCAATGAAGAGGACAATGCACTGGCGCTGGTTCTTGCTCTGCCGGTGTTTCAGCGAACTGCTAGTAGACTCAAACTCCCCTACCAGCTTGTAACGCACCTGCCGATAAAGAGGACAATGCGCTGGCGCTGGTTCTTGTTCTGCCGGTGCTTGAGCGCCAGCTGCGCCACCTGCAGCCCGGACAGCAGGTTGGTGTCCCCGCCCACCTCCAAACCTGGCAGGGAGGGACCAGAGAGAGTGTGGTTGGATCACACAAGGCGAGAGCGAAAGAAGGAAATTAAGAAAGATAAAAAAAAGGAGAAAGAGATATGCAGCCAGCTGAGCCACCTGCACCCCTGGCAGCAGGTTGGTGTCTCCTCCCACCCACGTCCGGGCCTGGCAGCAACCAGAGGATGCACGGGGAGGAGTAGGAAGAAGGGACGCCATTTGATTTGTAACCAGTCAGCTTGATCGTGGCCTTCATCGACAAGGGAAACCGGGGGCGACTTATTGAAACGGCATGCATGCAGAACAAAGGGATGAGTGGCGCACCATGCATGGTGGAGAGGATCTTCCCAAGGTCGGCTGTGGGGGTGACGAGCACGCGCACGCCTTTACCCGCCATGGTCAGAATGCCAACAGTGTTTTCGGGATTCGACTGCCACACATGAATGGGAGAGGGGGGGGGGGGATTTAGTATTGAGACGTCTCAAAACTGAATACCAACGGTGTTCTCAGGATTCGACTGCCATACATGAATGCTGGGGAGAGGGGGGGGGGGGGGGGGGGGGAGGGGGAGGGGGAATAGGGGGGGGAAGGGAGGGGGGGAGTATCATGTTTAACACCGGGTCCAAAGCAAAGAAGATAGTGAAAGCGATAATTGAAGCTTTCACGAGATGAAACCGAGCACTTCCTTGCATCTTTTATAGATAATAATCCGTCTAAACTCTTTCCCTTCTATTTAGTGACTGGTATCGCGACCTTACCTACACCGCCCACCTGCAACTTGGCGCCTCTCCAGCGTCGCTCACCTGGTCTCACCTGGTCTCACCTGCGTCTCACCGGCTTCTCGGCACGTCTCCAGCGCTGCTCACCTGCGTCTTGGCGCCGCAGATGAGGTTAATCGCGTCGGATTGCGCCTGGAAGCGCGACGGCGCGTAGTCGCCATTCCGCATCCACTCGGAGTTGTCTACGCACACCACGGTGGCCTGGGGAGGGGCGAGGGAGGGACGGAGAGGAGGAAGGGGACATTCCATGCATAGGGGAACCCCTGTGGCACGCATCCTGAGGTAAACTCCATTCCGCATCCCCCCGGAGTTGTCTACACACCACGGTAGCCTGGGGAGGGGCGAGGGAGGGACGGAGAGAAGGACGGGAGCACATCGATGGATAGGGGAGCCCCCTGGCACGCATCCCCTCGGAGTTGTCTACGCACACCACGGTGGCCTGGGGAGGGGCGAGGGAGGGGCGAGGGAGGGGCGTGAGAGGGGCGAGGGAGGGACCAGAGAATCTGCATGAGTAGGCAAGTCCCCATGACGAACACGCATCCCCTCGGAGTTGCCGACGCACACCACGGTGGCCTAAGGAGGGGTGGGGAGAGGAAGGAATGAGGAGAGAAAGGAGAAAGAATGGCTAAGGCATCGCTAAGGCATCGCTTAACGTGACCAGCAAGTCAGCAGGGATCCTGGCGACTCCCCAGTCACCATTCCGCATCCCCTCGGAGTTGCCGACACGCTCCACGGTGGCCTGGGGACGGGAGAGGAGGGAAAGGAGAAACGAGAAGGTATCGGCAGAGCGACCAGCGAGTGAGCATAGAAAAAGGAGATCCTAGGGATTGCCCGACGCACTGCCTGTGGCGAGCACGCGTGCTTGCATCCGCGCATCCACTCGGAATTGCGGGTCGACACACGCCACGGTGGCCGTGGGAGGAATCAGGAGGGGAGGGAGAAAGGATAGCTGCTGCAGTGCGATTTGCGGACCGACGCGTCTAATGCCTATGAAGTGTCTGCGATCGTCTAGCGAGTCTGACGTGTCTGCGTGTCTCCAATTCGACGAGTGCGGTCAGTTGAAAACTGAATGAATCGGCGAGATCTACGATCCACGAGCGAAGAACTGTAGAGCGAGCGTACCTCGAGAACCATGATGGAGATTCGGACGCGCGTCGATCACGAGAATAGCCGGGAGGATGCTCGCCTGATTTGGTAGCAGAGGATGCACGACTGGTCTGCTCACCGCTACTAATGCTGCGACAGATCGGCCTGCTGAAACTCTAGGAACCTGGAATTCGCTGTGCCACGGCGGGTCAAAGTTGCGAGGGAACCGTTAGGGAAAGCAGGGGTTGTCAGAGCCTCGACTCGTTATTAACAGTCGAACAGGCCCGAAATAGCGTGTTTGTTTCAGACTACTGGGCTCATGTGTACGCATACCGATTTACCTCTATTGAAGCTAGGAAGAATCACTTAGAAGGAAACCACCAGATGATCTCTCTTATCTGGTTTCAATGTTCAACCAAATAATTACATGCATTCCTTTACGCACGCCTACATCACCTAATGTTGATTCACAAAGAGCAGGGATATCAGAGGGGCCTGCAGGCTGCAGCTCACTAGGGCACATATCTACAGAAAGGCATGCTGAGGACCTTAGACCCTCCAAAACGCACCTCCTTGAAACCCGTGACACTTCAGTATCCCCTCGCATCCTCCATTGTCCTCGTCAACTCGTCATCGTGTAGTTCAAAGGGCTTGCCTAGCCCAAAAAACGGATAGCAAGGCACTGCTATCACATGCTAGCCATGCTGCAAAGCCATTCTATCCCTCCCACTACCAATCCAGTCCATGATAAAAGCAGATTCTCACTCGCATCTCAGTCCCGGTGTCAGCCTCTCATCCCTCCACATGTCAGCATGTCAGCTGTCCATGTGTCATCCTCCCAACCCTCTAGGTGTCAGCCCATCATAGTTAAAAGGTGTCAGCATCTCATCTCTCAGGCCACTTCGTTGCACCATTCCCCTCTCTACTCTCTCCTCTCTCCCCCCAGACACTCTTCCCCAAGCCCCCATCACCCCCCCCCCCAGCAGCAGCAGCAGCGGGAGAAGCAGCAGGAGCAGCAGCAAGGAAGCCAGCCACAGCAGCAGGCACGCCAGCAGAGGAATCTGGGCCGTTGATATCAGCAACGGCTGCACCATAGCTCATATCCGCCACTGCTGCACTGTAGCTGCTCTCGGGTACCCGCCCGCTCGCACTCGCACTTCCGCTTCCACTCGCACTGCCGCTGGCCCCAAAACTGCCGATGCTGATGCCGTTGCTGTGGCTGATAAATACCCTTTCTTGCGCATGGCTGCTCAGCACACAGGGCAGTGCAGCGGGCGAAAGAGGAGCAGCGGCTGCGGCAGCCGGGCATGGGGCAGTTGGGAAGAGCTGCATGGTCCTGCCAACGTGGTGGCCTCCAGCATGTGCTGCCATGAGCTCTGGGACCTGATTTTCCCCCAAGCCTTGCACGGCCATCACTGGCAGCTGCACAGCACAGGGCGGGCAGCCAGGACTCCCCCCATGGGCACGGGCTGAGAGCGGAGGTGGCCGAGGCAGGTGCTGCTGCACAGAGGTAGGAGGAGCGGGAGGAGCAGGAGGAGCGGGAGGAAGGGCGGGTTGGCGAACGAACTGCCCTCTGAAGCGTGGCCGCTGCTCCGCCAGGCGCTTGCGACTCTGGTACCGCACCTGTGAGGGGTGGTCAAGGGGAGGGTGGTGGGGGGAAGGGGGAGAGCAGTGGTTAACAGTTAGAGAGGTGGGTACAGCTGGCAAGGGGGAACGCGGGGACAGGGGGAACTCAGGGACAGGGGGAACGCAGGGACAGGGGGAACGCAGGGACAGGGGGAACGCGGGGACAGGGGTCGTAATGGGGAGTGGAACATGGGGAGGAGATGCAGAGAAAAGGAGACGAGATGGGAAGAAGGCGCACCTTCTTTTCGAAGTTCCTCTCCTTGCGCTTGAGCCGAAACTTGTTGAGCGCCGCCTCCCGCACCGCCTGCCGACTCATCGGCCCCCCAGCCCCCTCGGCACCACCAGCACCTTCCGCCCCTTCCGCCCCGCTCACTGCGTGTTCTCCCCCCCCTGCAGTTGCCCGTTCTGCTGCCCCCGCTCCTGCTGCCTCTGCTCCAGCCAGCGCAACGGCACTAGCAGCAACAGCAGCAGGTGCAGTGGAAGGAATGGCAGGTGCAGCGAGCGAGGCTGACAGCGACAGCAGCCCTGCTGCGCCCTCTTCTTGCCCCGCCTCGTCCCTCCTCCCTTCACACCGCTCACCATCGCCACCCAAGGCCCTCCTCTCTCCCCCCTCCTCCTCCCCCTCCTCATCGCCTTCCTCCTCCTGCTGCCCCTCACCACCGTCCCTCATGTGCACATCCACACAATCCTCCTCCTCCTGCTCCACCTCCTGCTCCTCCTCCTTATTCGCCTGGCCTCGCTGCTGCTTCTGCTGCAGCTGCCGCTGCTCATCCCCCTCCGCGCCTATCTCCTCAGCGAGCCACGCCCGCTCTCTGCTGCCCTTGCCTTCTCCCTCGCCTCCCGTTCTCCCCTCCTTCGCTTCTCTTCTCTCCATTACCACCACCTCATCACCCCCTGCCTCCTCTCTGCCTCGCTTTCGCCCCACCAGTTGCACAGCACCAGCCGCAGCACCAGCCGCACCAGGATTGTTGAAATAGCTGCCCTCTTGGCCCTCTGCCCTTTCGCCTCTCAGATCCCTGGCTGCAACCTCCAGTGCTTCCGTTGCCTCTGACGCGCCTCCCCTCCCTCTGTCCCGCGCCCCCTCCAACCCACTCCCAGCAGCACCGGCAGCGGCAGCAGAAGAGCCAGGAACAGCAGCACCAGCACCAGCACCAGCACCACGAACAGCAGGAGCAGGGAGCGGGGTAGGAGCCGCACCAACGGCGGCCGCATTACCATCCCTACCTCCCTCTCCCCCATCACCTCCCATGGCGTTCCCCTCTCGCCTCACCGACTGCCCCCCTGACTGCCTCCTCCCTTCCTCCACTCCCCCCCCTCCCATCCCTATTGCCTGTCCCCCCGTCCCCCCCTCCCCTCCGCTCCCCTCGCCGCCACTCCCCTCCCCGCCTCCACTCCCCCTCCCTGACCCCCCTCCTCCCCCACTCCCCCCACCATCCCCCCCGCTCCCTTCCCCTCCCCTGCCTCCCGTTCCCCCTTCTCCCCCACTCCCCATCCCCTCAACCCCATTCCCCGCGCCTGTACGCCCCTCTCCTCCGCTCCCCCCCCCCCCATTCCCCTTTTGACTGGACTGGAACCACCCCCCCTTACCAGGCATGCCTGCCGTGTCGTGGGCTTGGTCCTTGGAGCCTACCGCACTGCCATTGGCGCACGACAGCAGCGCCTGAATCCCCCCGCCGCCCGTCCCTCCCCCCGTTCTGCTCCACTCATGCGCCCCATTCGCGCTGGCATCCCCGCGTTTACTCCCCCCACTGCCCCCACTGCCCCCGCTTCCCCTTCCCCCTCCGCTGCCCCCGGCACTGCCCTGCCCGCTCCCCCCTCCCCCCGAACCTTGCCCACTCCGCCCTCCGCTCCCTCCCCCACTCCCACTCCTCCCGCCGCTCCCATCATGGCCACTCCCCGCCATATTCCTACCCGTGTCGCCACTCTCATTGTATTCCGAGCTGCCGTTGCCGTTGCCGTTGCCATTGCCGCCGCTGCTGCTGCTATTATTAACCCCCTCGCACGCGTTCCTGCCACCGCCGCCCTTCACGTGCACATTGGTGCTCCCGTCGTTCCCGACCTCGCCTCGAGGCACGGCAGCCGCAGCTGCGGCCGAGGCTCGGTGGTGCCCTGAAGGAGCTCCCGGACATGCGACAATGCTTGAGATACCATAACATCCCACACACCTGGGTTTTGCATCCGAGCACAAGCCAGCATGCTCTTGAGCCCATACACTAACCATGCATGCAAAAAGTAAGATGTTTGAGCACGCTCAATAGCAAGATAACCAAGTTGAGGCCTCGTAGGAAAATGCTCAAGTACTGGAAAAAAACACATACGATACCATAACTTTTTGCACACTTAGGTTTTGGATCTGAGCACAAGCCACGATTATCTTGTGCCCATGCACTAATTCTTAATGCAAAACAAGGGCTTAGGAATGGCACAGTATCTGAAAAAAGAAATAAAGCTGAGGTTTTGTTGGGCAACGCTCAATTGTTTAGACATGAGACAATAGTTGACATACTCTAACTTCCCAACCATTTGGATTTTGGATCTGAGCACAAGCCATGATGATCTTGAGGCCATACACTAGCTATGTATGCAAAAGGAAAGAGTTTTTGTGAACAAAGTACCTAAATGAAAAAAACTTGTTGTTGTTTGGGGGGGTATCACTCAAGAACTTGGACATGCGATAATGCTTGAGATACCATAACATCCCACACACCTGGGTTTTGCATCCGAGCACAAGCCAGCATGCTCTTGAGCCCATACACTAACCATGCATGCAAAAAGTAAGATGTTTGAGCACGCTCAATAGCAAGATAACCAAGTTGAGGCCTCGTAGGAAAATGCTCAAGTACTGGAAAAAAACACATACGATACCATAACTTTTTGCACACTTAGGTTTTGGATCTGAGCACAAGCCACGATTATCTTGTGCCCATGCACTAATTCTTAATGCAAAACAAGGGCTTAGGAATGGCACAGTATCTGAAAAAAGAAATAAAGCTGAGGTTTTGTTGGGCAACGCTCAATTGTTTAGACATGAGACAATAGTTGACATACTCTAACTTCCCAACCATTTGGATTTTGGATCTGAGCACAAGCCATGATGATCTTGAGGCCATACACTAGCTATGTATGCAAAAGGAAAGAGTTTTTGTGAACAAAGTACCTAAATGAAAAAAACATGTTGTTGTTTGGGGGGGTATCACTCAAGAACTTGGACATGCGACAATGCTTGAGATACCATAACATCCCACACACCTGGGTTTTGCATCCGAGCACAAGCCAGCATGCTCTTGAGCCCATACACTAACCATGCATGCAAAAAGTAAGATGTTTGAGCACGCTCAATAGCAAGATAACCAAGTTGAGGCCTCGTAGGAAAATGCTCAAGTACTGGAAAAAAACACATACGATACCATAACTTTTTGCACACTTAGGTTTTGGATCTGAGCACAAGCCACGATTATCTTGTGCCCATGCACTAATTCTTAATGCAAAACAAGGGCTTAGGAATGGCACAGTATCTGAAAAAAGAAATAAAGCTGAGGTTTTGTTGGGCAACGCTCAATTGTTTAGACATGAGACAATAGTTGACATACTCTAACTTCCCAACCATTTGGATTTTGGATCTGAGCACAAGCCATGATGATCTTGAGGCCATACACTAGCTATGTATGCAAAAGGAAAGAGTTTTTGTGAACAAAGTACCTAAATGAAAAAAACTTGTTGTTGTTTGGGGGGGTATCACTCAAGAACTTGGACATGCGATAATGCTTGAGATACCATAACATCCCACACACCTGGGTTTTGCATCCGAGCACAAGCCAGCATGCTCTTGAGCCCATACACTAACCATGCATGCAAAAAGTAAGATGTTTGAGCACGCTCAATAGCAAGATAACCAAGTTGAGGCCTCGTAGGAAAATGCTCAAGTACTGGAAAAAAACACATACGATACCATAACTTTTTGCACACTTAGGTTTTGGATCTGAGCACAAGCCACGATTATCTTGTGCCCATGCACTAATTTTTAATGCAAAACAAGGGCTTAGAATGGCACAGTATCTGAAAAAAGAAATAAAGCTGAGGTTTTGTTGGGCAACGCTCAATTGTTTAGACATGAGACAATAGTTGACATACTCTAACTTCCCAACCATTTGGATTTTGGATCTGAGCACAAGCCATGATGATCTTGAGGCCATACACTAGCTATGTATGCAAAAGGAAAGAGTTTTTGTGAACAAAGTACCTAAATGAAAAAAACTTGTTGTTGTTTGGGGGGGTATCACTCAAGAACTTGGACATGCGACCATGCTTGAGATACCATAACTTCCCACACACCTGGGTTTTGCATCCGAGCACAAGCCAGCATGCTCTTGAGCCCATACACTAACCATGCATGCAAAAAGTAAGATGTTTGAGCACGCTCAATAGCAAGATAACCAAGTTGAGGCCTCGTAGGAAAATGCTCAAGTACTGGAAAAAGAAACACATACGATACCATAACTTTTTGCACACTTAGGTTTTGGATCTGAGCACAAGCCACGATTATCTTGTGCCCATGCACTAATTTTTCATGCAAAACAAGGGCTTAGAAATGGCACAGTATCTGAAAAAAGAAATAAAGCTGAGGTTTTGTTGGGCAACGCTCAATTGTTTAGACATGAGACAATAGTTGACATACTCTAACTTCCCAACCATTTGGATTTTGGATCTGAGCACAACCATGATGATCTTGAGGCCATACACTAGCTAATTATGCAAAAGGAAAGAGTTTTAGTGAACAAAGTACCTAAATGAAAAAAACTTGTTGTTGTTTGGGGGGGTATCACTCAAGAACTTGGACATGCGACAATGCTTGAGATACCATAACTTCCCACACACCTGGGTTTTGCATCCGAGCACAAGCCAGCATGCTCTTGAGCCCATACACTAACCATGCATGCAAAAAGTAAGATGTTTGAGCACGCTCAATAGCAAGATAACCAAGTTGAGGCCTCGTAGGAAAATGCTCAAGTACTGGAAAAAAAACACATACGATACCATAACTTTTTGCACACTTAGGTTTTGGATCTGAGCACAAGCCACGATTATCTTGTGCCCATGCACTAATTCTTAATGCAAAACAAGGGCTTAGAAATGGCACAGTATCTGAAAAAAGAAATAAAGCTGAGGTTTTGTTGGGCAACGCTCAATTGTTTAGACATGAGACAATAGTTGACATACTCTAACTTCCCAACCATTTGGATTTTGGATCTGAGCACAAGCCATGATGATCTTGAGGCCATACACTAGCTATGAATGCAAAAGGAAAGAGTTTTAGTGAACAAATTACCTAAATGAAAAAAACTTGTTGTTGTTTGGGGGGGTATCACTCAAGAACTTGGACATGCGACAATGCTTGAGATACCATAACTTCCCACACACCTGGGTTTTGCATCCGAGCACAAGCCAGCATGCTCTTGAGCCCATACACTAACCATGCATGCAAAAAGTAAGATGTTTGAGCACGCTCAATAGCAAGATAACCAAGTTGAGGCCTCGTAGGAAAATGCTCAAGTACTGGAAAAAAACACATACGATACCATAACTTTTTGCACACTTAGGTTTTGGATCTGAGCACAAGCCACGATTATCTTGTGCCCATGCACTAATTTTAATGCAAAACAAGGGCTTAGGAATGGCACAGTATCTGAAAAAAGAAATAAAGCTGAGGTTTTGTTGGGCAACGCTCAATTGTTTAGACATGAGACAATAGTTGACATACTCTAACTTCCCAACCATTTGGATTTTGGATCTGAGCACAAGCCATGATGATCTTGAGGCCATACACTAGCTATGTATGCAAAAGGAAAGAGTTTTAGTGAACAAAGTACCTAAATGAAAAAAACTTGTTGTTGTTTGGGGGGTATCACTCAAGAACTTGGACATGCGACAATGCTTGAGATACCATAACTTCCCACACACCTGGGTTTTGCATCCGAGCACAAGCCAGCATGCTCTTGAGCCCATACACTAACCATGCATGCAAAAAGTAAGATGTTTGAGCACGCTCAATAGCAAGATAACCAAGTTGAGGCCTCGTAGGAAAATGCTCAAGTACTGGAAAAAAACACATACGATACCATAACTTTTTGCACACTTAGGTTTTGGATCTGAGCACAAGCCACGATTATCTTGTGCCCATGCACTAATTCTTAATGCAAAACAAGGGCTTAGGAATGGCACAGTATCTGAAAAAAGAAATAAAGCTGAGGTTTTGTTGGGCAACGCTCAATTGTTTAGACATGAGACAATAGTTGACATACTCTAACTTCCCAACCATTTGGATTTTGGATCTGAGCACACACCATGATGATCTTGAGGCCATACACTAGCTATGAATGCAAAAGGAAAGAGTTTTAGTGAACAAAGTACCTAAATGAAAAAAACTTGTTGTTGTTTGGGGGGGTATCACTCAAGAACTTGGACATGCGATAATGCTTGAGATACCATAACTTCCCACACACCTGGGTTTTGCATCCGAGCACAAGCCAGCATGCTCTTGAGCCCATACACTAACCATGCATGCAAAAAGTAAGATGTTTGAGCACGCTCAATAGCAAGATAACCAAGTTGAGGCCTCGTAGGAAAATGCTCAAGTACTGGAAAAAAACACATACGATACCATAACTTTTTGCACACTTAGGTTTTGGATCTGAGCACAAGCCACGATTATCTTGTGCCCATGCACTAATTCTTAATGCAAAACAAGGGCTTAGGAATGGCACAGTATCTGAAAAAAGAAATAAAGCTGAGGTTTTGTTGGGCAACGCTCAATTGTTTAGACATGAGACAATAGTTGACATACTCTAACTTCCCAACCATTTGGATTTTGGATCTGAGCACAAGCCATGATGATCTTGAGGCCATACACTAGCTATGTATGCAAAAGGAAAGAGTTTTAGTGAACAAAGTACCTAAATGAAAAAAACTTGTTGTTGTTTGGGGGGGTATCACTCAAGAACTTGGACATGCGACAATGCTTGAGATACCATAACTTCCCACACACCTGGGTTTTGCATCCGAGCACAAGCCAGCATGCTCTTGAGCCCATACACTAACCATGCATGCAAAAAGTAAGATGTTTGAGCACGCTCAATAGCAAGATAACCAAGTTGAGGCCTCGTAGGAAAATGCTCAAGTACTGGAAAAAAATACATACGATACCATAACTTTTTGCACACTTAGGTTTTGGAT